CCCCCCCCCCGCGCCCCCGCCGCCCGCCCCCCCCCCCCCCCCGCCGCCCCCCCCCCCCCCCCCCCCCCCCCCCCCAAACTTGTTTCGAGACCAACAAACTTCGGAAAGAGCGAAGATCAGCAAGCGCGTCTCTCTTTCCCGAGCTGCACATGGGCCACGAAATCGCTGCTGGTCTTCAGCGACGGCCTGGACAATTTCGCAGGGGTATGATTACAGCATGTTCGACCATAGCTTCTGGAAGGTGGCGTTGGAAGGGGGCTCTGACTACCATGCATTTTTTGCGTCATTAATCACAATTTATTGGTATGTTTTCGGTAACTTGGGTCATTTGGGACCAGGGAGGTTTTGAGAAATATCATGGAAAAATGACAGACACTTTGCTCCTCCAGTAAATGGTCGATTGCTGAGAAATGGCAACCGAACCAATTGACGTGACTGATGGCAGACCTGGCAACCAGGGCCTCGCGAGCGATGTGAAGTTGGCAAACATGCTGGACGAATCGCCGTCGGCGTCGAAATGAAAAGAAAGACGTTATGGCTTCCGCTATACTGGGATATGCAAGAGCAGCAAACGTTTGGGTCCTTCCAACCACAGTCAAGACCCCCTCGTCGTCCAGATTAGCATCTGGCCAAGCCGAGCTAGTTCAGCCTCAGAGAGTTTAGCGAGGAATAACCCCTGTCACAGACCCGCAATTCGTCCAATCTTGGCACATCAGGCGCCACTTATCTTATCGCTGGAAGGCGAACCCCACGGTTCCTCTGTTTCCCCTAAGAACCCGACCTGGATCTGTGTTGTCTCCTCCACCCCACTCAAAAATGAGAGCACCACGATTTGGAACAACCACAACCACACTGCAGTTTTCATAATCGAAGAACCGTTGACGGGCGCTTCGCTGCTCCTCTCGTATCCGCTCCAAGCGCCCAGATGGTGTGCTGGATGACTCCCAAATTATGCAGGAGAAGCTGACCAAGAGTCGTTAAAGCCCACCAATCCCGAAGCAATGCAAGCAAACACCACGGCCGCTTTGGGCGAGATCGACGCCTGGGTTCTGTCACCTTGGAGGGAGAGGACTCTCCACAGTCAGGGATGCACAAGCAGGGGCAACGATGCATCAACTTGGGAGAAGCTGTACGCCGTTGGCTCTGTCAAACGCCTGAGCAAGCCACCAACTGGTTTCGACATGTTCAAGGCACCCCAATCCGACTCGTCCGGTGGAGCACGGTCATCCCTGTCATCACTTCACGCGCCCAATGTTGGGCACAGCAGACTTTTCTTGCCGCCGACCTATTCCTTGTCCACCTGTTCTCCAACATTCCTCTTCAGGAAATGGAGCTACGCAGCAACATCGTCACCAAAGCAAAACAGCCCTCACCATCCCATTTTCGTCAACACTTACAGGGCTGTGGGGCCTCCATCCTCCACTCCTCCCGACCTACCTACGACACCCTTCTGCAACTCCAGCAGGATGAGGTTGTCTAGAGCCCAAAAACGTGTCCCCCTTGTGATCACCACGGCAGCTGCCACACTATCCTCGAATTTGCTACAAGAGAAGGGAGGTCTTCACCGACTGAGCCGATATTACTGCCAAGGGACTTGGAGATGTCCCACGGCAGCCATAATCGGCCCATTGCCCCACGCAATGCACTCGACCTGTTCCGACACGTCGAATCTACCCAGCGACCCTAGCAGGGCACAGTAATCGCAAACTGTGCGCACCCAACGACCAACCCTTCACGCTTTGGACTGCCATTGCTCCCCGCATCGGTGAAAACCATCCGAACCAGAGGGTAAGAGGGCTCCCTGACCGCCTTGCAACGGACACCAAAGGACACGCTCGGAAGCCATTCAGGGGCCGTCGACGTAACGTGGGCCCCTCTGGGACACCAGCGAATGGACCCGAGACACTAAGCATGAGGCACGATTTTGACCTACTATGAGCGTCTAATTTCCGGTCGCCAAGTAGTCATCGAAGTCGATGTTGCTCGCCTTCTAGAAGCCACGAACGCACCAACCGCCCAGAACCCGGTAGCATTTGATGCTACGACGGAAGCTCGACTTCAACTGTGCCGTCGTTTTACCACACTACGGTTACTCACTGTATGGACGAAGCCCCTTGGACCAGGCTGTCAAGTCAGAGACATCCGCCCTGGCGGCATATCGTCTCCTGCGTATTTACAAGTTTAAGCCCGCGTTGTGCAACTACGGCGACTGGAACCTTGCTCTGTCGGTATCGCAAGGCTTGGCTTACAGAGTCTTGCCGATACGAACGCCGTCAGAAGCAGCGGCTTTGGGTCATGCAGTCGATCAGCCAGTGACAGAACTGCACTGCTCGGGACACGGTCGGGTCTGAGGCAAAGCATTTCTCTGTTACGGCAACTGGAGACAGCATTGCCAGCCGGATCGCTCTCTTGCGTCGGGACAGTAATGTGATCGATCTGGGGGAGGTCTGGGCATGAAGACGCTTCCGTGACAGGCAAGGCACCGTCGACGAGGTAACGACAGCGCATGTAACGTCAGAACAACCAACAGCTTCCCAAGCGCGGGCGCAAGCCATCGACGTCGCTAATGACGAACAGATTGGCATCAGCCGCGCCTTTTAGCAACTACACGAAGAATGCGATGCCCATACGTATCCGATGCATTGCACTCGAGCCTTCCAGGGTGAGTATCATTAAACGAACAAACTCCAGGGTCTGGTCGAGGATCCGAGCATGTAGAACAAGCGCGAGAAGTCATGCGGGCCGATTGGTGAGTTGTACGACCGCGCTTGGGACTTGATGCTCTCAAGTGGCCCGTTTACGTGTGATCGCACAAAGGATCGCTTTTCGAGAGGATCGCGGGTCTATGACAGGTAGAAACCCTGGTCACTCGAACATCAAGCCAACGCTTGCCGCCGACAGGCCCTGGAGAGCCACGTCGAGGGCGCTCACTACTTCTGTACGTCTTCCAAGTAGGACTACCTGCAGACTTCATCCGCCACATATCCTTTCGGCCCCCTCTGCGAGAACACGCGTCGCCCTTGCTCAAAGCGACCTATCATCGGACACAACGTTGTGGAATGAGTCGTTCATCTGCCGACTGGGATTTTTCGCAGTACTCAGAATGAGCGAAATCCGTACATGGCAGGAACGGGGGACGAAACGAGTGTACTGAGGCTATGCCGTATCGGAAACGCAAGACAAAAGGCCTCGGAGGTCTCTAGGGTGATAACGGCCGTCCCAGCCAATCTTGGCGTCTCGGAAAAGCTGGCAATACCGGTACACAGCCAGTCTTGCGTTGAGTCCAAGTGAAGCCTTTCTTCGGCAGAGATATGATAGACGATGGCCTCTCGTCGGCGTCAAAGTTATCGCGCCTGTTTTGGAGACATTCACTCAAGCAAACTGTCTGGCTATCGAGCCTGAATCTATCCTCCACCAGTGGTACACGCCAAAATCAACAACAGCAGCCTCCCCCCGCCTCTTGTGATGGCAACAGTGGTATGATGAGGACGATCCTTCTTCTCCTCTAAGGCTTTGTCAACGGTGTTCTGGGCTTTAGCTGGGTCCGAAGGGGTAACCACGGATACGCAATCTGCGAAGTGATTTCGCATTATTCACCTGAAAAGGTCCTCCATGCTCAGACCCCGTCGAACACCACCAAAGATGGGAAGCCCAAATTTCTGCGGTGCCCGAGCACGGGGGCCCTTAATTCCATGATGATGGATGCAGGACGGTTGAAATGATGGTTCCAGGGACCGCGTTATCCCGACTTGGGCGTTCAGTCTGGACCCTGACAGTCAACGCTCGGGGACACGGGAAGCCCGAAAGATGCGAGATTAATGGCCTGCGTTCACTGATCTAGACCTCAGAAGGGCGATTGGAAAAGGACCTATCTGTGGCCTTCGCTCACTTGGCAAAAGTCTTACTACTGGCGACGAAGAGCAGGCCTTTGAGAAATCGTCTGATTTCAAGAAAGAACTCAGGTACTGCTGAGGAATCTCCCGTTCATGTGGCTGCGCAAAAGTGTCCCCCGTCGGAGTCGGGCTTCAGCTCCGGGCGGGGATGATGTTGACGAACGCACTGGACGTATGTTCCTCGGAGTGCCGTAGCGCGCCTCGGGTGGCTTTTGCCGTGAGTCACTTTGATTCAAAGCGGGATCTAGGGCGACTCAAAACCGAGTCAAATTTCCCTTTGCCAAATGTTGACGGAAAAGCGTTTGGTTTTCTCATCAACTGAGACAAAAACCACCCTAGAATCACGGCCGCGGACGCGAGGGAATGACGGGCGCGAGGGAGAAGAGGTAACTGGATTCACAGTGGCGAATGCCCTCTCAACGATTGGGCGCGCGCAATGAAGGTTACGCCCTCATGCTATTCCCAGCGGGCTAGTTCTACTCCTTACGTGACGGTATTTTGAGATCATGCCCAGGTGACTTCTCTTTTCTCTCTGTGGGCGAAAGTAAAATGTCTAAGCATGTAGTCAAATTATATGCTTTTGAGCCGCTGTGACGCCGGGTACGTGCTGCTTGACGGGGCTTGACAGAAATGGGGGAGGCTGATCTCGCGGGTGATTGCATGCTTGTGTTGCAACGCAGCGGTTACAGCGGCAACAGGCCGACGACATCACCGCGAAGCAGGCGTGCATGTCTCTCATCCCGGTTCAGAGCTATCTCACTCGCTTTCGCAGACGGTCACCATTGACATGTAGACCTGTCATTCCGCTTGACCAGCTTCCTGATTTCCAACACAGTGTAAGTGAGATGTTGTTGTTGTTGTTGTTGTTGTTGTTGTCGTTCGCCAAGGCTGAAGTAAAAGCCACGACATCATCCCTCAGAACAGGACGGACCTAGGTCCGAAGAAAGCCCCCCGCCCCAGACACTACCCGAGCGGACTCAGGTTCGACGACCTCTTGTTAGATCTTACGCCAACGGTCCGCCAACTAAAACTAAGCCCGTGGATTAGCATGCGGACGTTTACCTGCTACCGGGTTATTGGGCAGGCACCTCAGCAGACACCATGCAAAAGACACGATTCGTCCGTTGGCCGGGGCTGACGAGGCCGACGCGAAGAGGAAGGAAGAGCGGGAGTAAGTGCCGAGGGTTTCTGTTTGCGTCATCGTTCATCGCATCGACTATCAGGGAGGCAACAAGACGAGAAAGAAGACCGGGTCTACGGGCGGACGAGATCTACAAGAAGTCGGCGCTATTTGAGCGAAGCCCTCGAAACAAGAAGTGAACGTTTCCTTTCCGTCCTGACTACGTAAATGCTCGCGCAGAGATTGTTGAAGTTAGAGAGGTAAATAACGACTGCCCCAACGAATGCCACTAGTTACACACCAACTGATCCCCCATGGTGATTTGAAAAGAGTAAGGCAACAAATAACGAAAACCAACTCCTTTTTGGAAGGGTCGGCGAACTTGCCGATAGCATGAAGGCCTCCCGCCTCCCGGCGGCGGAGGTCAAGTCTGTCGACCGATGACAGCTCGTTTCCACCACTATTAGCATTTACTCTTCCTGGTAAGAAATCTTACGCATCTCTCCTAGCCTGTGCCTTGCGGCCGACAAGGCATTCTCGAGCTGCAAAATCTCGACCTAAAGAACATAACGCGTCAGCATAATCTCCTTCATGAGTTGTTGGGACTGCCGACCAGACACCCTCTGCCAGCAATGGACTGACGATGCCGGGTAATGAACGTACCTGTTGCTCCATCTCTCGCACCTTGAACTCGTGCGCCCCGAGCTTGGAGTAGTCGACGGCCTCTTCCTCCTCGTTGCGATCCTTGATGATACTCTGCACCTGGCGCACAAGCGCCCTGCAGGCGGCGCCGACGGCCTTGGAGGCCTGCTCGAGGTTCTCCTGGCTCTTGGACATGAAGCCAGCCTTAACTCTGCTCGCGGCGACGAGCTGGGCGGTGGATGCCGCCACGTCGTTGGACGCCACGATCAGCTGCTCGGGACTGTTGCGGTTCGAGAGGACACCGTCGGCAGTCTCGATGAGGGTGTTGGTAGACGTCGCAACGGCTTTGGCTGCGGAGATGAGACCCTCTGTCCACCTGTTGTTCTTCTTGTAGAAGGCGGTTCGCGAGGATGAGCCACGACCGGCCTGAACGATCTCCTGCTGCGTCGCGGTGGCAGCCTTGATCAGCTGCGCGATGGCGTTGGTAATGGCCATGGCGGCGTCGAGAATCGTGTCGTGCACCTTAAGTTCGTAGGTGGAGTAGCCGTCACGAGGTTTGTTCTTGAGCTTGGCCAATCGTGCAGCGGCGGCCGCGATAGCGTCGGCGGCCTTGCTCAGTTCCTGATCGACGATGTCGCCGAGGTCGCCCTTGCCCGCCAGCTTGCCGGTGTTGGGCGCGAAGGTCTCGACGAGCTTGTTGAGCTTCTGGAGGTTCATCTGAACCTCATTGTTGCTGTTGATGACAACGTCGGTCTTCTGCATGGGGTCCATGCCCTCCAGACGGAAGCTTTGAAGGCCGCGGAAGAACTTGACGGTCGACATCGCAGATTGGCGAGTACCGTTCATCAGGGAATCGCCCTTCTTCTCGTCCGTCGCCAGACGGGTAATACCTTTGGCGTTAGTGCAGACATCGGCGATAGCTCCTGCGAACACATTGATCGTCTTGATCAACTCTGCATGCGTGGCGTTGGGACCATCGGCGATGAAGTTGTTGAAAGCAGTGGCAAATTCCATTGCACTGGAGGAGGCCTTCTCGATTTGCGACAGCACGTAAGACGGCGATGCATTCTGGTTACCAGCTTGCATCGTGGAGTCCAATTCGTAAAGTGCATCATCCACCCTCTGCACACCGGACTGCAACACCGAGTCAATGATGTCGTTGATCTTGTCCAAGTTGGCCATGATCAATGCATCAATCTGTCCATCAATGACTTGGTCGGTGTCACCTTGGTTAAGTTTCAGCTCGTTGAGCTCAATGAGCGTCTGGTCCATGCCCGCCTTGTAAACCTCGAGCTCCTCCTCCTTGTCACGGAGAAGTTGCTCAAGATCGCTGCTGCCATCTCTGAGCTTGGCCTGCGCATCTTCCAAAGCGCGGGACTTGAGGCGCAGCGCCTCCTCGAGGTCGGCCATCTCACGGTTGTACTTAGACAACATAGTCGAGAGCTCGTTACCCTTGCTTCTCTCGATATTGTCTGCGCGGTCCATGGCCATGCGCAACTCTCGCTTTAGCTTCTCGACCTCGTCCTTGTTCGCCCCGGAGAGACGGTCCTTGTCGTGCAGCGCGCGATCTCTTTCTCTAATCATGTCGGCAAGCTCAAGGTTCTTTGTCTTGATCTCGCGCTCGAGCTTCTCCCGGCGCTCAATCGCTTCTTGTGCTGAGGCGGCCTTCAGCTGGACGGACTTGAACTTCTGGAGCAGATCCAAGTGCTCGTGGCGAAGCTGAGAGTAGAGCTTGGCGAGAGCTTCGTACTTTGTACGCCATGTGTTGACCTGCTCCTGCAGAGCTCGGATCTGGTCATCCTTGCTCGCAACTTGCTGTCCGAAGTGGCCCTGGATCTGGGAGAGCTCGCTCTCAAGAGCCTTTACCCTCTGGTCGTACTGCTGCAGCATAAGCTGATCTCGCTCGTACTGAGCTCTAGCATTGAAATTCTCTTGCTCCAGCTCGGCAAGACGGCCCTGGGTTTGATATTGCATTTGCTGCTGCATCAAAGCCTCCTGCTCGCGACGCTGCTGTTCAGCCAACCTACGTTGCTGCTCCTCGAAGTCTCTCTGCGCCTGCTCTTGTGCTGCCATTTGCATCGCTTGCTGCTGTCGCGCCTGCTCCTCGAGGACTCTCTGTTGCTCTTCATATTCACGGTTTTGACGTTCCAGCTCGTTCTTCCAGAACTCAGATATGTCGTCAGGCTCCTGGGACTTCGGCTCGGGGGGTGGAGTCGGTCTCCGCTCAATCTCTTGCTTCGGACGAGCGGGCAGTTGTGGCGCATCTTCGTCCTCGGCCAGTAAGTTGGGCGGGTCTTGCGGTAGCTTGGGAATCGTAATCAAGCTAGTCAAGTATCGCAGGTTCGAACACTCGTAGTAGAACTTGACGAGGCGGTAATGTTGAGCGTCGTATCTCTCACGCAAAGGTTGGAGCACATCGGCATCACCGGTTGCTGCAAAAGTCAGGAACGATGCTTAGGAAAACGCAAATGAGGCCAGGGAACCCACTGGAGTGCATCGCGCGCAGCATGCTGGTAATGAACTTGTAGATACCGTAGCTCTCCTGCACCAAGGGCACCAGGGAGGAGATGCGGCACTCATTGTTTCCAACATGACGGAAGTGCGAGAAAATCAACTTCTGGAACTGCTCAATCTTATCCTGGAGCGTCATCAAATCGGTAATTGTTTCGTAGCCCTCATTGGGGTCGTTGATGGCCTTCAAACTGAGATATTCCTCGTACTCAAACGTGCCGTTAAACTCCGGGTGCTGCTGGTGGAAAGACAGCTTTGCCAGGAGGTAAAAGACGTATTCGCGAATCAGGGGGCCGTATCCGCGCACTCCTTCTCCGCCCATTCCGCGGTTCAAGCTGTCGATCCAGCCTCTCTGGGCCATGGCCTCCCTCAAAGTGTTCGGGTGCCCTTCCTGGAGGACTTTGTGCACCGTAATCAAAGCCTTGAATGTCTGAACTTCATCGGCAAGAATGGGCTGGCTACGGAAACAGTACCGTCAGCGATTTACCCCCACGTCGGCTACCATTCATCACTTACACCTTCATCCCGGCCCAGAAAGCCTGGGAGGAGCGGTGGTCCCATGTGTACACAATGCAGCTGCGGACATGTTTTCGCTTCGGCGCAGTCTCGTCGGGGTTCGTCGCCTTCTTGATGTTGATTGCCAACTCCTGGTCGGTCCTTACTAAGTGTCAGTGCACCGTTACGACGAAACACAGCGAGGCATTGGGCTGGAGGGGAGAAGGATAAACGGACTTTGTGTGTCTGGTATCGGGCACGGCGGCCATCTTGTCCAAATTCTATGCGCGTAAGGGCGCTATTCGTGGGAGATGGTTGGCGAAGGTGTTCGTTTGATCCGGGCGATTCGAGAATATGACGTCTCCCAATCAGTTAAAGGAGACAATAGCTCCACGTGCCCTTGTAATGCCGCCTGACGGTCGCAATATAACGGACGACAGGGTCTGGAGGAAAATGAAGCAGTCGCAAAAAAAAAGGAAAACTTCAGCGACTCCCGTGCCAAGTGGGAGAGGCGGGAAGAGTCGTCAGCGTTGACAAAGCTCTAGAATAAAGTGAAGGAGCTCGAGTGTGGCTGGGTTCTGCAACATGCACAAGCTCCGGCGATAGAAGCGCCAAGGCGACGCCGTACGGTGGTTGCGCTTCGGCTCGGTTCCAGTTTAGGTTGGGCATAAAGCATGGAGCAATGATAATCCGGTGGAGGCGCCAGTGTCACGGGCTGTCACTGAGCAGTCACCACTGCCACATACGGGGTCAGGTACCTAAGCTCTGTGCACATGCCTGATCTGATGACGATAATGGTGGGGTAAGGCGGGCAACGTTGACCCCAAGAAGTCCCGTCCCTGCAATGCTACCCGGCTGCTGATTGCGGTACGGATGCTGACTTAAACTCCCAGAAGACTCTCGAGAGGCAACTCAATCAACTACAAGCCGATGCAATCAATCTTAACTTGAAACCAGAAAGAGAAGGAAATCAGAAGATTAGCGCTTCCCAGCGGTGTAAAGCGTTGACAAGCGCGGTCGCAAAAGTGCATTGCATGTGTCAGGACTGAGCTAATAACTATGGATGACTGGATGAGACAGACTTTATTCGTATATGCAAATGCCAGGAGATGTCCCTCGCATCGACGTCAAGTTTCATGCGAGTTGCCGCGAATTGACTTGACTATAACCACCATGGTACTTCACATTGACCAAGATTGAGTAAGAAAGGATTGATCATTTCGAAACATCGCAGAATATCGACCTGTCTGAATTGACTCAAAGTTGCCAGTGTCCTTCACCCACCCCTGTCATCTTGATCAGGCTTGTGGCCGTCGCTCTTCAACCAAAAAACCGCTGGCAGGGCAGACGTAGAGGATGATAACGAATCACTGAGACGATGTCAGAATAGTGAATATTAAATTTCGCATATCTCCCCAATGTTCGTGGCGACGATACGGATCCCAAATGAAAAGTCGCAAGGTCATGTTCTTCCATTGATCAAGGGTATCATGAAGCCCGGCGAGAAGCAGAGCCATCTATTCTGTCTGCCAACCAACAGGCGCGCACTGGAATGACAGTGGGTTCCCGAATAACACAACACCTAGACACCGGACCTGTGCCATGCTTCCAACCCGGAGGGGCGACCCCGAGACGTTGCGGCAAGGTCGCGTAGGGCCGACGGGTCTCACTGGTAGCATTTCGGCGTACAGGCAGACATTGAATTGTCATTGGTTTCTTTTTTCCATTCCCTATGAACGTTGCCGAAAACGTGATGCCTTTCCATGCTAGAATTCTTTCCGTTCCTCACGTAAACACCCCATGCAAAAGAAGAACTGCCAAACCCCCACACAAAGACACCTTAAATCGTGGTCTCGTAAGGAAGAGGGGTGACGGTCTCGGGCTTGTTCTCCTTGAAGTCGACGGTGCGGGCCTCACGGGGGAGGGCGGGGAGGCGCTTGAGCTGGACGGGCTTGCCCTCGGCCTGGGCCTTCTTCTTCAGGGCGGCGTTCTCCTTGACACGGCGAAGGAAGTCGTCTCTCGAGCGGGAGGGAGAGATGTGCTCGATGCGGAGGTTGATGCGCTTCTCGATGTAGCGGTGCTTGACCTTCTTGTAGATGATGACACCGACGGCGGACTTGGTGACGTTGTAGATGACACCGGTCTTGCCGTGGTAGACCTTGTGAGGCATACTTTGATCCCAACCTGTCAGTCTTCAAATGCGCACAAAGACCACCACATTTCCCGAAAGCTCCAAGTCTTCTCGATTGCGATCGGTTTCGTGGTTTCTCGGGTGGGTTCGTATCTTACCCCTTCTGGACGGCACCGTTGGCCTTAATGTCGACAATGTCGCCGACACGGTACTCGCGGAGGTACGTGGAGAGCTTGATCATACCCTTCTCACGGAAGTTTCTGCTGAACGCATACTGCAAACGACCGTCAGCAATTCGCCCAAAATCTCAGAAAAGTCGACGGCATCGTGAAACTTACGCGCGTTCCCGCGCGAAGACCCGCTGGGTGACCCATTTTGCCGGTGTTGTGTCGTTAAGGTCGGTGGTGATGGTTGATTGTCGTCGAGGTCCTGAGGAGATCGCGAAAAAAAATTCCCAAGCAAATTTCGGTAGCCTGTGTCCTGTGGGAATTGCTCGGCCATCCGGGAGACGGTCGCTTAGGGCAGCTAGACCATCACGTGACTCTCGCCAGAGTGCCTCTTTCCTGATCCGGTAAGGGCCCACCTTAAGCCCTGTCCCACAGCGTCCACCAACTTCCGGCTGAATTTTGAGAACTACCTTAACGCTTTTTTTTTCTCCCCTTCGTGTATCGAACGACAACGACAACGAGGAAAATCGACGGGTCGGCAAGATGGCTCCGTAAGTCTATGGATGAGAGTCGCGCATCGCAATTCGACTTGCTGACAATGGTTGCAACAGTCTCACCTACTCCAAGACCTCCAAGGTCCCCCGTCGCCCCTTCGAGGCCGCCCGATTGTCAGTATTCTCCGGCCACTGAACGCGAGCTTGCTCGGTTTACGTCGTGAATCCGAAAACTGACTTCGACATCACAGGGACTCCGAGCTGAAGCTCGTGGGCGAGTACGGTCTCCGCAACAAGCGTGAGGTCTGGCGTGTCCAGCTTACCCTCTCCAAGATCCGTCGTGCTGCCCGGTATGTTGCTCTTGGTCGCGTGCACCCATGTGCGCACATGTGTTGAGGGGCAAACCTTTCGGCTAACACCCGTTCCAGTCAGCTCTTGACTCTTGATGAGAAGGACCCCAAGCGTCTCTTCGAGGGTAACGCCCTGATTCGCCGTCTCGTGCGTGTCGGTGTCCTCGACGAGTCCCGCATGAAGCTCGATTACGTCCTGGCCCTGAAGGTCGAGGATTTCCTTGAGCGCCGCCTCCAGACCTGCGTCTACAAGCTCGGCCTCGCCAAGTCCATCCACCACGCCCGTGTTCTCATCCGCCAGCGCCACATCCGCGTCGGCAAGCAGATCGTCAACGTTCCCTCCTTCATCGTCCGTCTCGACTCTCAGAAGCACATTGACTTCGCCCTTACCTCGCCCTTCGGTGGTGGCCGCCCCGGCCGTGTCCGCAGAAAGAAGGCCGCCGCCGCCGAGAAGGCCGACGGTGGTGAGGAGGAGGAGGATGAGGAGTAAATGCAACGCCATTTAAGCTGAGGATTGGTCACAAAAATATCTCTGGGACTGGCTGGAAAACAATACCAACCACGGGAATTGGGGTGTTCATAGTCACGGCGTTCGCCAGAGGCAAAATGGAATGATTGCATCAAATACGGATACCACGAATGAATGTTACAGAAAAGTTTGTTTTTGTTCAGGACACGAGAGATCACCCTTGCATGCGAAATGATGAAGGGAAATGGGTATCATGTTTGTCCTATGCAATGCCTCACTACCTTAGTCTAGACCAATTCATCCTTTCCCAGGAACTTTGCCATCGGATCGTTCGCCGCCGTACGCTTTCTCCTGTACTCTTCCATCTCTGCTTCTGAGACCCCTCCCATCATTTCCTCCACTGTGCGCTTCTTCGCAGCTTTGTCGGGTATGATGTCCTGTTTGTCTTCCTCTCTGGCGGGCTCAGGAGCCTCCTCCAATTCGGGCAGACCTACACCAGTGCGTTGTTTCTCTGATGCTTCCCAGGCCAACTTGCCCTCCTCGCCTGTGCAGTAGCTGTTCTTGACCTTCGAGTGACAGCAGGCGTAGCCCCATTGGAAGTTGTGCCACCAACTGCCCCAGATAGACGTGTGGTTGTGAATGTAGACATCCTCGGGGTACTTGGACTTGGCGATGATTTTGGGGGCGCCCTTGATGAGGCCGCTCTCATCGTACTCCACGTACTGTTCCGACTCCGTCATGAGATTCTTCATGTCCTCGGGCATGGTGTACTGCGATGTATCGCCGTACATCTCCTTGAGCTTCCTCTCTTTCTCGGCGCGCTTCTTCTCGGCTTCTTCCTTCTCCTTCTTGCGGTAGAACTCTCCTGCGGTGGGATTTGCCTGAAGATGCTGTGTTGTGTTGCCGCTCTTCTCCTGCGCTTCCCAGGCGTATCGTTGGGCCTGCTCAAACTCTCCTGCGTCCCCTGAAGCTCGCATGAATCCGTCCTCTGCGAAAAGGTCTGCTGCCTTGTCCGCTGTTGCGCCACCATCCACCAAAGATCGGGTCTTTGGATCGTATTTGGCTGAGTCCAAATCCAGATTGACAAGATACTTGGCGGTGTCTTCTCGTATTCTGAGCTGGCGCGTGGCTGTACTCTGGTGCTTGCTCATATCGTTTTCTTCGGCGTACTTGTCGCCTTCGTCCTGCTCATCCTCGTTTTCACCATTCTTGAGGGCCTTCTTCCGCAACGCCTCCATCTCGTTGTACTCCTCTACCACGTTGCGGTATTCCTTGGGGTCGTATCCGTTCCAGCGATCCCGCTTGGCATCCCAGCCCAGCTTAACGTCCTGGATAACCTCGTCCGCTTGGATATCTTTGCCGGTCCACTTTGCGCCCTTTGCCCTCGGTCGGCTCAAGCAGTCTTTCGCCTTGTGTGTCATCGCGCCGCAGTTCTCGCACGCGCCCTTGCGGTACTTAGTCGCGGCCGGGCCAGCTTTCCTCCCGCGATCGTACCATTGCGATTTTTCGTTCTTCTTTTGGAGACGTTGATGCTCGAGATAGTCGGTCTGGTCATCGCCTTCCTCGCCTGCGTAAAACGGTCGCTTACTGATGAAGGAGGGGATGTAAATGTTCTCCTCCTTCGATGCAGCGCCGGACGCCTTAGGGTCTGGCTTCCGAGGTGGCGGCGGTGGTGGCATTATGTTGGTGATGACGAAATTTTGAAGTTTTGAGGAGAGAGAAAGAGTAAGACCGACGTAAAGCCAGGAGAAAGGAAACCGTTGCAAGTTGCAGGTGTTGCGACGGAGAGCGATGTCTTTAGAAGAATTACGGGCCTGAACTGCGCCTGGCGGTCCGGGTTCTCGGGCTCTCCATTCTCAGTAAAATATGGCAGAAAGTGTGGCTGACGCACGTAATATGGCTTGCTTCACAGCGACTCTCACGTGATCCCGCACCCGAGTCGCACCTTCGACGCGCTGCCTGCTCGACAACACGACTAGGTCGCGTCGCCGCACACGCCTCCCAAAGTGGCCAAACGCCGTCAGCATGAACCGGAAAGACTACTGTCGCTGTTTATCATGATTCACCGTGTCTCCTCTCGCTTTCATCCTCCATGAGTCTCATTTATCGCCACTATGGACTTGTTCAGGGTAAGGTTGAATTGCATCGACCACTACCAAGCGACTCCGACGCATTATGATCCCCAGCTTCGCAATGATATCGGTTCTGCACAAGCGAAGAAAGGCCCGAAGGTTCCAGTGATCAGAGTTTTTGGCTCAACGGAAACCGGTCAAAAAGTATGCGCTCACATTCACGGAGCTTTTCCGTATCTTTACGTGGAATACGAAGGCAGCCTGGAGCCCGAAGACGGTCAGTATAAGTGCCGATTTGCTGAAACCAAACTGACTGTAAGTAGTTGGTGCTTACATATACCGACTTCATCTCTCGATTGATCATGCTTTGGCTGTCAGTTACCGACGTGATCAATACGGAGAGAATGCAAAATTCGTTGCCCGGATCACCCTCGTCAAGGGTGTGCCATTCTATGGCTTTTACGTTGGCTACAGGTTCTTTCTGAAGATTTACATGTTCAACCCAGTCGTCATGACACGACTTGCCGACTTGCTGCAACAGGGTGTCATCTTGAAAAAGAAATTCCAGCCATACGAGGCCCACCTTCAATACTTGTTGCAGTTCATGACTGACTACAATTTATACGGATGTGGCTACCTTGACGCGGCTGACGTCTACTTCAGAGGACCGGTGCCATCTTACAACGAAGAAGGAAACTCCCGACATTTGTGGCACGACAACTCAATTCCACGGGGCCGCGTACTCGACGATCTCAGTCTCCCAAGAGTTAGCCATTGCTCAGTCGAGGTTGATATTTGCGTCCAGAATATCACCAATCGCCGGCTGGTGCAAGAGCGCAGGCTTCACCATGACTTCGTCGAGCGACTGAAGCCACTTCCAGCGGACATGAAGCTGGTTTACAGCATGGCAGGGCTGTGGAAAGATGAGACTCGCCGACGAAAGATGAAGATGCCTGACGCAGACCCAGGAAGTAGTCCATTCCCTGCAGAAGTCTTGGTTTCAATGTCGGCGAATCCTCGAGATTCTCAACCGCAAGGTTGGATTCACGAAGAGGAATACAAGGAAGAGGTCGCCAAGCTCATCGACGCTGAAAGGAATCCAGACGACCCCTCTGAGCCAAGCTTTGAATCTTTTGTCGATCACGCGCCCCAAGAATCCACGATCAGGACGGCTCTGCAGTCCGTGGAGGATTTGTATCCTGCCAATCTCCTACCAGCTCTTGGGCTACCTTCCAATCACTTACCTACCAACCAAAACCCTGCTAGCAGTATCGAAGTCGACGAGCAAGCTGTCCTTGACCTCGGAGTTGACGACTTCGACCCATTCCCTGCTGATTCCGACGAGGAAGCTATCATGCAGATGGGCCATACTAGTACCAATAAGGGCGACCAAGTCGACCAAACAACTGAAACAGACGGGAAGCACCTTGCACATCAGACGAAAAGGATGCAGCAGAAGGCCAGCGACGGAGACACTAGCTTGTCTCTCAGAAGGACCATGAATAGCCCAAGAGACCCGTCGCTTCCACCATACGAGGGTGTTTGGGCCAGCAGGCTCAAGACCGGAAGGTTGCCAGGAATGCCAGTCTGGCCTGAGCTACTCAACTCGGCTGAAGAGGAAGGTCTTGTGTCCAAGATAAAAGGGGGCACTGATAAGACTGCGCGTCGAACGAACTCAGTCAAGCGGCCAGTTTCGCCTCATCCTGCAGCACCTTCAATCAAGCGCCACAAGTTTGTTGCCCCAGAGCTCTCAAGTATCGACCCCAAGGCACCGACCAGAGGAGCCATGCAAGGAGATGCTGCACCCGGAAGCCAGCAAGTTATCATGCTACCTTCCTGCTCCCAACAGAACCTGCGTTCGTCGCAACAGGGCCTGGCCGCGAAACAAATGGCCAATCAGCAACTATCGTTTCCGGTGGTTAAAAGTCAGGAAGATCCAACCACTAAACTGCGTTTGAGCCAGAAGAACCAGTCTCGAGCCGCCCAGCAGGGGGAGAGGGAATCTCAAAAGCACGTGTCCTTCAACCTTGCCCCAGATGTCGTTGGCCCCGAGACGGACGCCAACCGCATCTTCAAAAAAGTTCGCATCGCAACTCCGATAACAGACTTGAGTGGAACGGATAGCCAGATCCATCGAGCACAAAAAGCCCTTGAAGCTTTCAGTAGCAGACGGCATCTCTTGTTCGAATCTCTCCCTCCTGCAGCAAAAGGCATTACGTCAACGCTGAAAGACATGCAAATTTCCGACGCTATCTACCAGGATGCTTATTACAGCGAGGAAAAGGACGTGCCTGCTCGTCCAAGGGAATATGCAGGTCGAGAGTTTCGACTCGAGAGCAACACTCTGCCCTACCTTGCAGACTTTGATCCAACGGGAACATCTGCGGCAAGTATGGGCACCAAGTCAGATCATCCCTTTGACAAGGCCAAGGTCGATCTGGTTCACGAAGCACAAGGGATGATTTGCTCTTATCGAAGCTGGGAAATAGCCCAACCGCCACCATCGTTTGCCGAAGTCGAGAAATGGTGGAACAAGAAACGTCCTCCCCGGAAGGACTCATCCAGCGTCAACGGGAGAATTGTCGGAAGTCCACAAGCTTCAAGACGCCATCTGTCTCAAATCGACGGACCAACGCCGAAGAACAAGCATGGCTTCAAGTATTCGCCGAAGAAGAAGTCGACAAGCGTGAAACATGAGGCACAATACATGAGCACCTTGGCTTTGGAAGTTCACGTCAACACGAGGGGAAAATTCGTTCCGAACCCCGAGGAAGATGAAGTCCAATGCATTTTTTGGTCCATCAAAGCAGACGGGACCATCAGCGCAAGCCAAGATGCAACTGGCGGGATCATTGCTGGAGTTGTTGTCCTCTCGCCGGATGGTGAGCTTGCTTCTCGGATGAGGCGATACATATCTGCAGAAGTTCTAGAAGAATCATCCGAACTAGACCTCATGGTGCGCATGGTGGAGATTGTCCGGATGCATGACCCTGATATTCTGACGGGATACGAAGTCCATGGCAGTTCCTGGGGCTATCTCATTGAGAGAGCTCGCTTGAAGTACGACTACGACCTCTGTGACGAGTTTTCTCGTACGAAGAGCAACTCGCACGGTCGGATTGGAAAAGAGAACGATCGATGGGGCTTCAACACAACCTCGTCCATTCGTGTCACTGGCAGACACATGATCAACATTTGGCGAGCGATGCGAGGAGAACTCAATCTGCTTCAGTACACAATGGAGAATGTTGTGTGGCATGTCCTCCATCGCCGCATACCTCATTATTCCTGGAGAACCTTAACCGAATGGTATCGAAGTGATCGGCAAAGGGATCTTGACAAGCTACTGCGCTACTATCTTGCCCGGACAAGGATTGACATCCAGATTCTGGAGGCAAATGAGTTGATCCCCAGAACCAGCGAACAAGCTAGACTTTTGGGAGTTGACTTCTTCTCCGTCTCCTCTCGCGGTTCCCAGTTCAAGGTCGAATCCATCATGTTCAGGATCGCTAAGCCTGAGAACTTTATGCTCATCTCCCCGAGCAGAAAGCAGGTTGGGGGTCAAAATGCCCTTGAGTGCCTCCCACTCGTCATGGAGCCTCAGAGCGCCTTCTACAATAGCCCATTACTGGTACTCGATTTCCAGAGTCTATACCCCAGCGTCATGATCGCCTACAACCTATGCTACTCCACCTTTCTCGGACGTATTGTCAACTGGAGGGGAATTAACAAAATGGGCTTCACAGAATACCGGAGGCACAAGCGGCTGCTCGAGCTTCTGAAAGATCATATCAATATTGCACCCAACGGCATGATGTATGTAAGGCCTGAGATCCGGAAGTCTCTGCTGGCAAAGATGCTAGGCGAGATTCTGGAGACCCGAGTCATGGTCAAGAGCGGGATGAAGCAGGACAAAGACGACAAGACGCTGCAGCAGTTGCTTAACAATCGACAGCTTGCACTTAAGCTCCTCGCCAACGTTACCTACGGATACACATCAGCATCGTTCTCTGGCCGTATGCCTTGCTCCGAAATCGCCGACAGCATTGTCCAAACTGGCAGAGAGACGTTGGAAAGAGCCATCGCGTACATTCATTCACAAGAGCGATGGGGAGCTGAAGTCGTCTACGGCGACACAGACAGTCTCTTCGTCTACCTGAAAGGTAGAACCAAGGACCAAGCATTCGACATCGGCAACGAGATCGCCAAGGCCATCACGGATATGAACCCAAGACCTATCAAGCTCAAGTTTGAAAAGGTGTACCATCCTTGCGTGCTGCTTGCTAAGAAGCGCTACGTCGGTTACAAGTACGAGAGCAAAGACCAGGCCAAGCCGGACTTCGATGCAAAGGGTATTGAGACTGTTCGACGAGATGGAACGCCCGCAGAACAGAAGATCGAGGAGAAGGCGCTCAAGATCCTTTTCGAGACAGCCAACCTCAGTGAGGTAAAGTCCTACTTCCAAAAGCAATGCGAGAAGATTATGCGGGGGTCCGTCTCGGTTCAGGATTTCTGCTACGCCAGAGAAGTCAAGCTAGGCACCTACAGCGAGAAAGGACCTCCGCCACCAGGGGCCTTGATCAGCACCAAGAGAATGCTCGAGGATGCTCGCGCAGAACCGCAATACGGAGAACGAGTGCCCTATGTTGTCATCACCGGTGCGCCGGGGGCACGACTTATCGACCGGTGTGTGGCGCCGGAAGACCTTCTCAAAGACTCCCATTCCCAGCTGGATGCTGAGTACTACATTTCCAAGAACTTGATTCCACCCCTGGAGAGGATTTTCAATCTGGTAGGCGCGAACGTACGGCAGTGGTACGACGAGATGCCCAAAGTACAGCGGATTCGCCGGGTTGATCAGACACTCGGTGGTGGACTGGCCAAAAAGACGCTAGAGTCATATCTGAAGTCTGCATCGTGCATCTCATGCAACGTCAAAATGCAAGTCGAGGGAGTGCTGTGCTCGAAATGCCAGCAAGACGCGCCGTCGTCCCTGTTCAATCTTCAAACACGGCTGAACCATGAGGAGAGGAAGTATATGGACGTCGTCAAGATCTGCCGAAGCTGCTCGGGACTCCCTGCGGCAGACGACGTTCCTTGTGACAGTAAAGACTGTCCTGTATTCTACTCGCGCGTCAAACAAAGCGCGCGACTAAAGACGGAGAAAAGCGCTCTAGACCCAGTTATTCGAGACTTGGTGCTGGAGGCAGGAAAGGCAGCATTGGACTGGTGAGGTAGTTTGCTTTCATTATGATACCTGGATGGTGTGGTACGTTTTGTTTCGTTTCGGCGTTTCTGGCAGGAGGCATTATGAAAAATGGATTGGATGCTCCAACGGCCTTTGATGGACAATGAGCTATGATGTCACGATTGAACAGACCGTTGTTTTGGTTGGACCGCTGTAACAAAGACGGAGATTGAGTAACATAATTGGAGATTAAGCGGATACAAGCCCGTCTGTTTTGGTGCCAGACAGACTTCCGGATGCACTGATTGATACGTTATCTACATTGTACTGACTTATCGATTTCATTTGTGAGGATGGGAATGAAGCAAGAACGGGTATTCTCAGCATGATGCTCTTGATGCTATCGGTGACCTCACTGTGGCCAGGGAGCCCCATTTTCAGCGATCCTCGCGGGGTATACAGGGATGTCCGGGTTGCTACCGGCACTGCTCTCCCGTCAGAGTGAGCCAGGAAGCGGTGTTGGCGGTCGGCGGGCGGGTCATTCGGCACCTTCTTTCAGGCTCTCGACGCCACCGCTTCCCACTAGCCGCCCTGCGACTCCACACGAGGTCCTCGTTCAAACCGCTGGAAGGCAAAGCCAAAGACTGTCGGCCCGCTGCGGCCAGCTGTCACAAAGGCAGCACTCCATCACATGACGGTGTCAAAGCAACCCATTGGACACTGGGGAGCTCTAAAGTGACCTGCTGAACGTGCGAAGGTAAGTACCTGTCTTACCTGGCCCATCTTCGATCCAGAAACTCATTCGTGTGGCCAAGACCCAGAAGAAAGCCGCGTGGGATTTGCTGTCCACTTTCCCAAAAGTTGCTCTTCGAACTTGACATTGCCGTACTCATTTGTTTTCGGCCTGAAACAAGAGCTCTCCTCCCCGCGATTCCCGAGCGATACGACCGATAATCCAAGCGCCGATGCTCCCGTCCAAAACCCTCCACTTCCTCCTCCTCGCCTGCTAGTTGGCAATACTGCAGATAGTGCAGCCTGCGCAAAAGCGGAAATCCTAGGAGAGGGCGAAAGAAGAAGCAGCCGCAGCCATGGGGGGCTGGACCAGCTTCTTGTTCACCTATCTCCTGGGAGGCTTGACCTTCATCCCTCTGGTCATCGTCGCCGTCCTTGCGCACGCATACTTCACCCTTCCCTACCGACAGGATGCAGACACGAGTCTCGAGGATGACGGCGGTCAAGACTCTATTGTGCAGCCGGGAGACGATGTCAAGGCCCTCGAGGCTGCGAAGGCTGTCGATAAGGACGACTCCGCGAAGCGACCTGCGACTCAGGATAACGACGTAGCGGCGGGGTACTTTGCCGTGTGTCGCGAGTACACGCCCATGGGGATCAACGCGAAGCCTATCGAGCGAGCCACACCCACCGGGTCTGCCACTGTCGCCGCGCCGAGCCAGAGTGTCTACCAGACTATGTATCGAAGCATTTTCGAGCGGAAGCCGACGCCAGGACCTCTGGACAATAAAAATGGCCTGAGCCAGCGTCCCAAGAATGCTGGCAACGTCTTCTATGTCGTCTTGAGGTGTGTGAACTCTGCTGTGCGCCTGGTGTTCTCAACTGACAACCCGCAGACATGGGCACCTGATGCTCTTTGACGATGACGAGCAGATCGAGGTGCGACACGTTATTTCGCTTGCGCACCACGATGTCAGTATATACTCGGGAGGAGACGTGACACCAGAGGGCGAGCTGTATATCAAAAGAAATGCGCTGTGTCTTTCCAGGAGGCCGGATGGCCCGGAGGTTGGCCCCGACAGTCAGCTCTCCAAGCCGTTCTATCTTTTCTCGGAGAACTGCTCAGCCAAGGAGGACTTTTACTTTGCTCTGCTTCGCAATCAGGAGCAGACCTTCGGAGCCGAGCGGAAAGCGCCTAAACCGAAGCAGTTTGAGGTTAAGAACATCATATCGCTTGTGCAGAAGCTGCACTCGTCAGAGGAGCACCTGTCCACGCGATGGCTGAATGCCATGATCGGCCGAATATTCCTTGGTCTTCACAAAACAGCAGACCTGGAACACTTGATCCGAGAGAAGCTCACTAAGAAGATCGCCCGAGTCAAGCGGCCGTCCTTTCTCACCAACATTGCGATCCGCGGGATTGACACTGGTGAATCAGCTCCCATCATCACGAATCCCCGCCATAAGGACCTGAATGTAGAGGGAGAGTGCGTGATGGAGGCCGATGTGCGATACACGGGGAACTTCCGGATTGAGGTTGCAGCAACGGCCCGCATCGACCTTGGATCGCGCTTCAAGGTTCGCGAGGTCGACCTCGTTCTCGCAGTCGTCTTGAAAAAGTTGGAGGGACACATGCTTTTCAAGATCAAACCGCCGCCGAGCAACCGAATCTGGCTCTCTTTCCAGAGTCAGCCGAAGATGGAAATGACCATTGAGCCTATCGTCAGCGCTAGGCAGATTACATACACTATTATTTTGCGACAAATCGAGAACAGGATCAAGGAGGTCATTGCCGAGACGTTGGTGCAGCCGTTCTGGGACGATATGCCCTTCTTCAACACGGAGCACAAGAAGTGGCGTGGTGGAATCTGGGAGGATGACGATGCCGTTATTGGCTCGCCTACTCTAGAGGCTCACGTCGCACAAGAGGGAGACGTTGAGGGAGTCGACCGCTTGGACGACACAGGAGACTTGCAGAGCGATCTGAGACCAAGCGACATGAGACCATTCGAGAAGAGTCACAGCATGCCCATCGTCGAGAATACACCGCCAACTGGCTTGTTCGGCAGGAAGATCCAGGGCAAAGGACTCAACAGCCCCTTGAACGGATCTTCTACCAGCGTCGACGCCGTGGGGTCGCCGCCGTCGCCAGCATCGAAACCTAGGCCGTTTAGATCGCCGTCGGTGTCAAGCCCTGCAAATCCTGTTGTTGGGACCGACGCTGCTCATGCAGACATGTTCAAGCCGTCATCATCTCCGCCTGATCATGCGTCAAATCTGATGGCGGCGTTGTCCGCAAAATCTCAGGCCAATTCCCCCGCGGTAACACCTGCCGAGACACCTGCAAGGCCGGCATCCGTCGCAAAGGCACCGAGCCAGTCTTCTGCTTCGTCCCGTGAGGCGACGGACAACGAAAACGAGGCCGACCGGACACCCGTGGGCAAGATACGGCGAAGTACGACGTCGTCTGCCGAGTCGATGCGGGCGAATGAGACGACAGATCCGGGTTCACCAAACCCCTCCTCACGGGCGCCGTCGATCAAGAGCGCCACGGGCTCCATCTCAAAGGGATTATTCAGGCGTGAAAACACGGGAAGCACCATCTCGGGCTCGGGCGCGTCGACAAATGGCGAGACCAAACGCACCACCCTCGCCGCCGTCGCAAACGCGGCCGTCACGGCGAGACAATGGGGATGGAACGCTCTCCAAAAGCACAAAGATACAAGGAACGGGAACTCGGCCGAGCAGAATCCGCCAGTGGACTTGAACCGGCCTATGGGACGTGGACAACCGCTGCCGCCGCCCGGCACACCGCTCCCTCCTCCTGTGAAGGGCTCGAAAGTGACGACGATACCCGTGCCCAAGCGGAAGCCCATCCCTCCTCCAAGTTTGCCAGAGCGTCCGCATTCCGCAGCTCTTGCAGATAGCAAGCCAGAACGCAAGCCTATCCCGCCGCCGCTGGTGGAAAGCAAGTCGGATCGGTCGGAGCGCAGGCCAGTCCCTCCGCCGCCCTTGCCCTCACGCCGGCACATCGACAAAGATGACAATGATGCCGGCGAGAACATGCTAGTCGTCGAAGCCCCTCTCGACTCGGAACCGACGACCCCAATGGACGAGAACATTCCCCAGCCAGCATACGTACAACCGTGGGCCGAGGACACAGACGACTACGAAGAGCCCCCCTCGATAGGCCCATCCCGCGAGAGCAGTAGCTCCTCAACTACCAGCGAAGGAGCCAGCCGCACCCCTCCGCCACTACCTGAAAGACGTGCCAGCCCCATCCAGACGATGCCGGCCACCGTAGGCGACGAAGACGATGATTACTCCGCGTGGATGGAAGATGACGACGCGACCACCACCACCAACGATACATACGAGGACGAGAACAAGAACCCCGAGTATCACGGTCTCGGCGGACGGAACTAATGGGGCGGTACGGCGTTTATTTTGTGATTTGTATTTTTCCCCCTCTTTTTGCATCGGGAATCGGCCAGGGATTGGGAACGAGGAGGGATTGGGGGAGTTGCACATTTTTAGGATACCAAATCATCATCACTTACTCAATCGGTATACACATTGGGAAAGGTAAACCGAAATCCAAGGTCGACACGGACTTTTGCTGTTAGTATACTTTTACCGTTCCTGTACATAACACACACATACAATTGGTATTCCCCAAGCCGAGAATTAAAGAAAGACATCCACTTAGATCAGAAAAGATGTGCATGGCCTCGTGGTACCACGTCGTTGATACCGTCGCACGTCTTGTCTTGCGCCGCACGCCGACGAGAGATACGTCCGTCCTTCCGTGAATGCTCACGTACCTTACGTCGGGCTAACTTCATGCGTCCCGATGGCGCCGAGGAAGGACGGGGTTCATCGTTCCACACAGACACCAAACGCTTGGCTTTCCCGAACTTCGTTCGACATGTCACTCACGGGATGATCCCAGTCGTTCCCGGGAAGACGCGTATCCCAACAAGTAGTCAGCAGTCAGCCACCGCGAACCGATCAACCTTCGCTCGCGCGACACGGTACACGCAGGAATCATAAGGGCAGAAGCAACTAAGCATTACATCTACACTATGCCGACCGACCCAACCCAATCTCGTAGAGGGTTGAGCTCGGCGGTCTGATACTAACGTAGTAGAAAAAAAAAGAAGAGGTTTTTAGAGAGAGAAAAAAGACTGGTTTTACATAAAAGACTGGTTTCGAGTGTTTTTTGTGGTGTGCCAACAGAGAGCAGAGGAGTGTCAAACAAAAACTCCCACCGCTCCGTTGCGGATTGATTTGTGATACATTTGCCATGCTATGCCATCGCCCCCAGTTCGCCGCAACACGCCGTTTGGAAATAAAGAAAAGGTACCAAAAAGTGGAAAAGGCTCGGCGGAGTTTGATTAAACCACCCTCCATGCGAGCAAGCGAGACAGGTTGCTCCCGGTAATACAACAGAGACCAAGTGAATAAGCCAGCATGTAATCTTCATGATTGGTTGCCGGCAGTCCCCGGAGATCCTTTTGCGGTTGGTGGTTTGTTTAGCAGTAGTGGTTTTTGTTGATCAAGTCGGACGACGAGAACGCGTGCAAAGGAAATTTGGTCGTAGGACGCGGTGTCCTGGATGCAGTCGTTATTGATTAGGTCGAAAACGGAAGGAGAATTGGGCCTTGGGATGCAGGGCAATCCTAGGCTAGTAGACGGCAAGGAGAAGGTTGTCATAGACGTCGTGATCCGTTGCGTGAGAGCGAATTGATCATGAGTGGGGAGGGCATCCCACGAGCCAATTTTGGCGGAGCGAGTGGATTTGAAGTGTGCTTCATTGCATTTAAGATTACTTGAGAGGGCTGCTCAACAGCCGCGTGGAAGTGTCGACGGGTCTTGAAACCACAAGGTTCAGGCTCGTGACCTCAGAGTGCTCATGGCAGATGCAGAGCGTCCGGGCTGAGAGTGAGAGTGAGAGTGAGAATGGGAGCCAGAGGGCTGACCTCTCTTAGAGTGGTGGTGAAGAGTACCAACGTCGTGCTTCCCTGTGTGGCTGTTAGTATTATCCATGTGAGAGAGAGAAATTAGAGGGACTCACCATCGCAGCAGGCGCGCACGTTCTCAAGCCTGTCGGCCTCCCGATCTTGCTTCTCAATAATCTCCCTTACGTCTTCAGCACTATCGTGCACCTCGCTAGCCTCGTAGATGCTGGAGTTCGGCGCCACTCCACTGCGGCTTCTCAGACTCGAGAAAGTGTTGAAGTAGCCGCTGATCCTTCCCAGGGTTCCGATTGAAGGTCTCTGGGCCTGGCCCTTGTTGGGGGTCAGTGTAGGAACATTCATCGACATGTCGATCGCGGGAGACTGGTTGCGAGTGGTCCGCGAGTTGTACGAGGACAGGGATGGCGGCGGGCGGGGTCGAGCCGTGGAGTTAGTACGGCGACCAAATTGGGGGTTAAACTCATCCACATCGGCTTGTGTGATGTTGCCTGCCATCTCCTCCACGTCAGATTGACCCTCATCAGCAGTACGAAGCAACAGGTAAGACAAAGCGTTGAACCAGGTCTCATGTCGCTGGCCCGTTGTGCAGGTGAACTTGATAGTTCTGCCAGGAGAAATGACAATCAAGCTCTTGCGGTGGAGACCAGGAGGCATGGGGTTGTCGTCCGTTACCACGCGAACAGCCTCGATGGGTACACTCTTGCCGCGGAGCTCAGAACGGCCGGCAGAGGCGGGGTCACGGTCGCCCCAGTACAGAGTGCGAGTGTACGGATGAACCCAGAAGTACCGTCTGTGTCTGTAGTCGGAGATTTCCCCACGGCCAGCCTTGCGAGTGTACTTCCACAGGTATTCACCAATCATGGTCTGAGTGATGGCCTGGATCATGCGAGGATCGGTGTTAGCACCAAAGCCGGATGGGTCCATGCCGCCCAGCTCGTTACGAGGGTTGAAGCGATGGTCGATTTCAGAGACGAATGAGGACACCGACGATTGTCTGCTCATAGTCGACAGCTTAGTCGGAGACTGGACGGACTGAACGTCGGCTGTTCCGTATGAAGGACCGGCCCGGGCCATACGAGGAGTGGCCGAATGCTTAGTAGCAATTGACAGAGGAGATTGTGGCCTTCCACCATTGGGCGTGTGCGGGCGTTGATGCCTCATAGCGGAAGCGGGCCACAGAGGAGGACCCATGACCGATGAGCTTCCCTGCGAAGATCCAGTTCTTGCTGCCTCGATGGCCTCCTTGTGGTTCGAAGGCAGAGGCGGGAGTGGCTGGTTAAGCGCACGGCTGCTGCTAGAGCTGCCAGGTCTCCTGTTTGCCAGGTCCATCTTCTGCTCCGTAGACACACTGCTGAGGCTGTCATGCGACGGGCGGCGGATACGAACAGTGCCCGAAGTACTCGGAGTACCGATGATTGACTTGTCTAGTGACTCGACAGGCTTCTCCTTTGCCAGCAGCATCTCATCGATTGCCTCCGCCGTGAGGGAGGTTTGAGCGCCCATATCAGTTGTTTGGCTCGTGGCCTTGCGAACAGGGCGACCGTTGGCGTTGGTTGAGATCTCCTTGAAAGGCCGCTGGGACTCAGGAGTCTCAGACTGACGGACCTCGCTCGGTGACTGCCTCGTCTCATCCTCTGCAATGACCGGGCTGTCCGGGGCCTTGTTCTTGCCGCGACCAAACACGGATCCGATAAGAGCCTTCTTGGGCGTCCTTGGCCTGTCCGTCTCATCGAATGGTGACTCCATGTCGGTGGGAATGATGAAGCCATCCCGCTTGGGGCTACGAGGCGAGATCGGATGGGTCTCGATTGACTCGATGTTGGAGAAGGCGAAGTTCGGCTTGGGAACCATGGTTTCGGATGCTTGCACAGGCTCGACCTGCTGTGACTGGAGAGAGGAGAAATCCAACGCGGGGAGAGAATTCGCGCGCGGTTCCACCGTTTGCGAATGAATGTTGGAGTAGGCGAGAATGGCAGGCGGAGGCGCGAGAACTTCAGCTTCAGCCTTTGGCTCGATGTGCTCGGAGGCGATAGACGAGAGAGTGAGGGCTGGCGGTGGCATCTCTGGCTCAGCCTCGGGCTTAATATCCGCGACCGAGAATGAAGACATGGTGAGAGAGGGGGGGAGTTCAGCCTTCGGCTCGATATCTTCAAACGCAATCGGTGTAAGGCTCAGAGATGGCATGGGCGGAACGACCTCAGGCTCCTCCTTTGGCTCAACGTTCTCTGCCGTAATCGACGAGAAGGATAACGAGGGCACTTCCGGGACGATCTCAGGCTCGGCCTTGGGCTCGACGTTCTCTGCAACAATATTTGACAGCGTAAGGGCAGGTGGTGAGACTTCGAGCTCTGCCCGCGGCTCAAGATTGTGGGAGTAGAGCGCAGAGAGGCTCAGAACAGGCGCCGGATGGACGACTTCGGGTTCGGCCTTGGGCTCGACGTGCTCCGCCGAGATGGAAGAAAGGCTGAGAGTAGGCAAAGCCACAGGAACCTCAGGCTCCGCTCTAGGCTCGACGTCCTCAGAAGTGATGAAGGACAAGCTGAGAGTGGGGGCTGGTGCCGGCGCCGGGATAGGCGTTGGCACGGCCATGACAGTCGCAGACTCGGATTCTGGCTCGACCTTGGGCTCAATATCTTCGAACACGAGTGCCGACAATGTGAGATCGGGTGAAGCAATCACAACTTCTGGCTCGGCAATGGGCTGCAGGTCGTGGGAGTGCAAAGCGGAAAGACTCAGAGCCGGAGGCGGGACATCCGGTTCAGCAACAGGCTCAAGGTTATGAGCGTGCAGGGCCGAAAGGCTGAGAGCTGGAAGAGGTACCTCAGGCTCGGCGATAGGCTCAATATCGTGAGACTGGAGTGCAGTCAAACTGAGAGCAGGCGGTGGCACCTCAGGCTCTGCCACGGGTTCAAGGTTGTGAGCTTGCAGCGCAGAGAGACTCAACACTGGAGGCGGCACATCTGGCTCGGCCTTTGGCTCGACCGCCTCAGAGAGGAAAGATGAGATGCTCAGCGTGGGAGGTGGCACTTCAGGTTCAGCCTTGGGCTCCACGGCTTCCGAGACAAGAGGAGTGTATGCCAAGGCTGGTGCCGGCGGCACGATCTCGGGCTCAGCCTTAGGTTCGACAACCTCGGACACCAGTGATGTCATGGTCAACGGAGCTGGAGCAGGAGGAGGCGTCTCCGGCTCGACAACAGGCTCGATGTCCTGAGTGTCGATGGAGGAGATGCTGAGCTCAGGAGGAGGCGGCAGAACAAACTGGTTGGGGCTGGACGGTGGCATTGGGAATTGAGCCAGCTTCTCATCCATGTCGTATTGTGCACCGGCATCGCTGTATGAGATCGTCGACAGCGGGCGAGACTTGAGACCATCCGTGATCCTGTTTGCAGCCATCATAGAGCTCAATGACAGTTCGCGCTCGTCATGAACGACACTGAGAGGCGTTTCAACGATCGGATCAGTCATTACACCAGCATCAACCATCACAGGCCTAGAGGCAGCCGCAGACCTCTTGACAGGGTCAGTCATCAGGCTGCTATCGGCAGTGTCGTTCAGAGACAATGAGGGAATTGTCGTCGTGGACTGAGAAACCTCCGATTCGGCGCCAGGCGTGGCGGACCTCGCATGACCGGGAGTGCCCTCAACAGATTCAGCGTCGCTGGTTTCGAGCTCAGCAAGCTCAGCGAAGAGACTTTGGCCGCCAGCTTGAGGTGTTCCTGCAGCGCTGCCCGTGGCGGCGCTGGCCGGGCTGCTCTGGTAAGCCGGCTCTTCGCTCGCTTCTCTGGATCGGCGGTTGATAAGTCCTCGGCTGAGCCTGACGCGCATGCGCTGGTGAGAGTGCTTTGATGTCGGCGTCCGAATGTACTCGACGTAGTCTTCGTCTTCGTCGGCGGATGTCGAAGCAGTGCTGTCGTACGAATTACGGCCACCTCCCATAGCGAGAGTCTGAGGACGGATCTCCCGACCCTTAGACGGGCTCTCGGTCTCAGTCTCGGTATCATCAGAGCCAGAGAAATCCTCAACGCCAGTCTGGAAGTCTTCCGTTTCGGTACCACGCTCGTTCGCAGTCTCAAAGGCGGCATCACTGGTCTCGTTGGCAGTCTCGAAGTGGTCGCTGGCGTCCGTGACGTGGGTTCTGTAGCTGCTACCAGGTCTGCGAATAGTCGACGTGGAGTACGAGGTCGGCGATGTTCTGGGGCTGCCGATTTCTGTGGCTTCCTCCCATTCAGGATCGTCCTGGTAGATCTCGTTCCTGCTGTGGCGATGACCTCCGAGCAATCCACGGGATGGCTTCTTGAACTCCCTAGACTCGACCTTGCGGTTGCGGCGAGCAGGTGCGGGAGCTGCCTCGGTGCGCAGCTTCTCCAACTCGTCACGGGTGTCCTGAAGCAGTCGCTTAAGCTCGAGCTTCTCGGTCTTTTCGCGGTGGATGACGGTCTTTTGGCTCTGGATGGTGCGCTGAGCATGGAGCAGGGAGCTCTTGAGAGTCTCCGACTCAAGCATAGCATGGCGAGGAGTTCCCTTGATGGGAGACGGGGGCGGGGAGTGCTCGGGAGTGAAACCGTCTGCGGCAGCCTCCAAGTCTTCGTCGCTAGGGACACGGCCGAAGTCGCGATCGGAAAGGCGACCGCGCTGGGAAGAAATGGCTCTGGCGAGCTCCTGGTTCTGGCTCATCAAGTCATCGACCTTGCGTTGCAGCGCATTTCTCTCAGTCTCGGCCACAGCGGCATTCTTCTTGGCGGTAGTCAAGTCCAAGTCAAGATGCTTGGCAAAACGTTCGTGCTCTTCAGCAAGCTTAGCAAGAGACACCTTGGTGTCATCGAGTTCCTTCTGGGCAGAGTTCTTCTCCGCTTGCAAGACATTGAGACTCTGCGTCAACTTCTTCTCGCGATCGGCAGCATCCTTCTGAGAAGCGATCAATTCGTGGACCTGGGTCTCCAGGTTCCAGTTCTCGTCTTTGTACCGGTTCTCGCTCTCGTCGAGGGTCTTTACACGCTGCTGGAAACTCTCGGTCTCGATCTCTAACCTGGACTTTTCGGTCTTGGTATCTCGAAGCTCTTCGTCCTTCTCGGCGAGCAGAGACTGAAGATTGCGGACTTGGGCGATCAGAGAAGTACTGATTTCGGCGGCGAACTCGATGTCGTGAATGCGGCTGGACTGCTGGTTGCGGACTTTGCGATTTGGCACACTGAGCTTCGAAGGTGATCCTGTAGCAATGTTCTCAAACTTGGAAGGGCTGACGGAGCGCTGCAAAGGGTGAGGTTAGCGCCAGTAGGCGCAGGCGCATGCGCATGCGCGGCAGGAGTGGAAACGCGGAACTTACTCTGCCCATCTTGCCGTCCGGAACATAGGGTGAACCTCCAGCAGCTTCGTTGCTGGGGACTCTCTGCTTGGGCAAAAACGCCCGTGCTGTCTCTCGGGCGACATCGTTGAACTCCCTCTCAATGTCGACAAGCTTCGTGCGCAGATCGGGAGTGAGCTCTCCCTCGGTCTGCAACTCCTCAACTTCCTTCAAGCGCTCGGCAAGTTCCTTGCGCTGCTGGACCAAGGCGGTACCCAGCTTCCCGGCTTCATCTAGGCGACGTTCGGTGTCGGCAATGTGTGCTTGCAATGCGCGTTTTGCCTGATCTGGGGATGCGCCGGGGCCAAGAGCAAAGAATTGACTGTCGTAGCCGGAGTATCGTTGGTTGGCAGGGCCAGGAGGTGAGACGAAGGGGTCGTTCGCATCCGCATCAGCGGGCGGCAAATGGGGTTTATCGACGGCGAGTGAAGTAGCCATGTTGGTGGAAACGATGGGGGGAGGCGCCGCCGTTAAATGCGTTGCGGCCACATTCAGCGCAATTATTCGTAGGTCGTCGTCGTTGTGGTGTCGCCTCGATGCCGTGGTTTGGTCGTGAGTGGTGTTGTCGCTGTCGCAATCGGTGGTCGAGTATTCCGAAGGGGATTAGGCGATGTTTGCTGCAAGGGAAGCGCGGGGAATGCAGAGCCGGCTGCCGTGTGCAGAAGCGACCTTGTCGTCACAAACACAAACACACACTAGAGGCCGTAGGGAATGGAACGAGGGGATGAGGGGAGGAGAGATTGCGGTCGCCGGTCGGATTGTCGAAAACGGAAAAACAGAGGGAAAAGAGTGACGAGGGAGTGGATGGGGAGGGGGAGCTGAAGGTGATGTTTTTTTTTTTTTTTGACTTGACTTTGTTGTTTGTTTCCCCCCCAAAAGTCAGGACTCTTGTGCAGAGAGCGGCTGTGTGTTGTTGACTGGAATGCGGTCCAGGTGTCCGGGATGTGCGATGGGACGGGCGAGCAGGAATGGGCTTCCTAACGCGGCCGGGAAGACAAGGCAGTGCCTGTCGGCTTTGTTGTTTGGCCTTGAGTACCTGCACGGGTGCTGCAGCTAGAGGGGACCTGGGATGGAGTGGGATGAGCTAGCCGCGCCCGCACTGCTGACTTGCTTTGCTGCTGCAGCGCTACAGGTACAGTTCAGGTCCTCCAATGATGACTGCCCTGTGGGTGGTGAGCTGTCGCTTTCTTTTCCCCCACACACAGACGTCCTTTTTTGGGACGAAGCGGTAAATCGAAAAAGCTCCGGGTTTGTCGTTGTGGTCGCGGTCGCGGATGCGGATGCGGATGCGGTCCGGGAAAGAGAAAAAAAGACAATGAGGAATAAACGGCGATAATAAGACAAAGGTATTATTAGGGAAAGGTCTCCCGTTTCCCGGAGTCTCGGTTGAAGCGGTCGGGCGATGGCCAGGAGAGAAAAAGCAAATGAGCTGGCGTGGTCGGTACAGAGTAGAGCAGAGGTCTGTCTCACTCTCAAGCAAGCTCAAGCTCAAGCTCAAGCTTCTCAGTCCCGCGTCTGGTGTCGTCCTCAGGATGATAACAGACCGATGAGGTGAAGGTGTGATGCGGATGCGGTGTACCGAGAACGGCAGCTGACTGACTCTTTTGCTGGCGTCTGGTTGGGTGAGAGGTATTCGCAGCGTCGCAATTCGGTCGGTCGATCGGTCGGAGGAGCGAATGAGAGTGCCGCGGCGGAACAACAACACACAAGGCTCGCGCAATAAGAGAAGGACAAGAAATAATACAGATAACGAAAAGGGTAAAGGAAGATGGTAGTGAGGGACTAAGGTCGGGTAGATGCAGGTAAGATACCTGTTACTTTCGCAACTTTGGTGGTGGTGGTAGGGAAGGTGGGAGTAGTCGCAGCGCGGTGACGCTGTGTCTACGACGTGATGTAAGTACGTACAAATAACGGTGTAAGGGGCCAAAAAAAGATGGATGACAAGAAGGGTAGAATTAAAACAAAAAAGTCCCAAACCAGAGTCGGAATAAACACGTCGAGAGACTGCTACGTCTCTCACTTGTTTCTTACCTTCTTTGCTGGTCCTCGATTACGGGTGTCAATTGACTCGCGATAGGCACACACGAAGACAAATTGGCGGCCCGGAAAGGAAGAGAGGGACAGAAAGAAACGCGGTCGCGGTTGTCGGCGTCGGCACGAGAATAAGAGGGGGTGGAGGGAGGGAAAAGAGGGAGAAGGGGTTAGAGAGGAGAGAAGGAGAGGGAATGAGAGAGAGGCAATGTAATTTTTCGTCTTCTTTTCCTATTTCTCGACTCTTTCCCCTACCCCAAGACTGGATCCAGACCAGGCCCGGGACCAGACGTGGAAGAACAGGACCCAGCAATTGAGGTTTTGACGAGAGGGCACAGGACCAGCTCCTTTCGTCTCCCCGGGGTGTTTGCAAGGTCAGTCTCTCCAATCATCACCGGTTCCACCGTGGCCGTGGAGCTGCGAATGCCTGCAACTATGACTGTGCAAGCGTGCAACTCGGGTACCTGACATCCTGTGGATTATGGCGGGACAGGTACATGAACTGTCGCCGGGATGACGTGATAAACTCATGTACTGCGCATCCGTACATCTCAGACATAAAGTAGCTGTTCTTCGAGAATTCTCCCCCGTTAGCCATTTCACGCCTGCCAACTCACACTCATCAATACGTGGCGTCGCAATTCAATTTGGCACTATCGATCGCATATCAGAACACTTGGATTTGTTCCCCCTATGCTTACATCTTCTTGTAAGCCGGCAGTCCAACTTCCCATAACCAAGCACCAAGCTACCCCGGCTGCCCGCTGGTCATCCGTCCGGCTCATCATCATCGCTAACCTAGCTCAGCTCACCTCCGTCTGGAAGCTTTCAATTTCAGCATGCTTTAGCGAAGGCCTCAAGGACCCATCCAGTGAGGCACTGCGAGGCCGCTGTGACGACAGCTGCAGGGACGCGGGATATCAGATTGATAGGTATCGATGAAGAAACACAACCACAAGCACAAACCGGGGGTTACATTTCACTCACAGTCTGCTGCAACCACAGATTGGTACGGCCAGTTGGGCCTCTAGCACAGCTTCTGCACGCTCCTACACTAAGTGCTGTTTCCGTATGTTCTTTACGATGTACTCATGCACCATTGAGGAGGATCACTACTTGTTCATCCAATCTTTTGCTTCCCTCAGAGTCAAACACGCTGTGTAGCTGTTTATCCCGCATCCGAAGCCGCAGCCAATCCCAAAGGCCAAATTCAACAACACAACCTCGTTCTCACACGGCCTCTCACCCCAGCGACCCTGTCTCCCAGCCTCTTCATCAACAAGATACAGAAGCTAAAGGCTAGAGTAGATGGCCTCTACACTACCTCAGCTACGGATCCCGTACGGAGTATTCACCCCCGGTCCCCAAGCCTTTTTCCCCAGCGCGGCCACTCATGCAAGCAATAAGTCGCATCGCCCATCGCGCATCGCACGGCGTGGCATCGACAAGGCATAACCCATCCAAAGCTCGCGACTTCCCCGCCAATCCATACCGCCATATCGTATCGCTTCAAAACAAGAACACGCGAGTTGTGTTTTCATCTGCTGCCCGTTGCCCGCATAACTTGCCAATCTTAGTCATGGCCCACTATGACTCTGTCCTAGCCTTTTTCGGATCTTACCCTTGCTAGCGTGTCCGTGAAGACCCTGCTGTCGTCCAATCACTATCGGCATTTAATTCGCATCTATCCACTGGCGTTGGGCCGTCTCTGAAAGCTCCACCCGTCACCTGATTGGCTTCACCGGTCAAAGCAGTGGAGCCTACAAGTCCAAGCCACGAGCTTTGTCAGCCTTGTGGCTTGATCTTCAGCCTTCTAGAATTCGTCCGGTCCCGTCGTTTGCAATTGACGTCAAAGCTCAGGAGGCGTCCCAGGATTACCCAAATTCCGTTACAACCCTTTTTCCAGCTGCCAAAAATCTCCGACAAACAAATTCTGAAGCTGGCCTTTGTGATCATCGCAACGACATCCGAGTTACCCACGACCGAATCCGAACAGATCCAATAGCCATGGCTGACAGCGCTGCCGCCCCCGTCGCCATCTTCAAGAAGCGTGGCGCGAAAGGCAAGGCCAATATCCGGAAGAGGCCCGCCACGCCGCCGCCCGCCAATAGCGACTCCGATTCCGACTACTCTTCCTCTGAAGATGAAGCAGGCCAGCGGGTCAAGAGGAGGAAAAGAAACACAGGCACCGTCACCGCATCATCAAAAGACCAGGCAGCTTCGAAACAGGACCTCTCCGCCACAGTCTTCACTGCCGACCGCAATGCCCCAATAACGAATAGCAACGATGCGACGAAACATAGCAACTGGTACGACGAGGATAGCAAGGATACTCTTTCCGCAAAGAACCTGCTGGGCACAACACGAGGGAAGGCATCGTCACAAGCGCCTGACGGCACCTATAAGGGATTGGCGAATCAAACGTCTTTCATCCAGAAGAACCCAGACGCGCCGACAAGGACTGTCGGTCCCATCAAGGCGCCCACCAATATCAGAACGATCACCATTACCGACTTTGCCGGAGACGTTTGCAAAGATTATAAGCAGACGGGTTTCTGCGGATTCGGCGACAACTGCAAGTTCCTCCACGCTCGAGAGGACTACAAGGCGGGTTGGCAGCTGGACAAGGAGTGGGAGAAGGTCACCAAGGGAAAGAATGTGGGAGGCACCGTGGTGGCAAGTGCGGACCGGGCCAAGGCGGGTGATGACGACGATGACGATGAAGACGCAATGCTGGAAAACATACCGTTCGCATGCATCATCTGCAGAGAGTCATATAAGGCGCCGGTCATTACGAGGTGCGGACACTACTTCTGTGAGCCATGCGCGCTCAAGAGGTATAGGAAAGACCCGACATGCGCCGCCTGCGGGTCGGGTACGAATGGCGTCTTCAACTCTGCCTCGCGCTTGAAGAAGTTGTTAGAGCGCAAGAGGGAGCGCGCCGCGAAGAGGCGTCAGGAGGCGATCGAGGCCGGGGAGGAAGTGAGTGATGAGGACGAGGAATGAAATAGATACCAGCGGCTCTGATATGCCGAAATAATGAAGACAGAACACATTGCTCAATTGACGGTGTGTCGACAACAGTCAAACTGTCCCTAGTTGCGGGTGAGATTACCTATCGAACTATTGTTCGCAATTGCGGTTCCCGCTTAAAGCGGTGACCTCGCTTGAGCTATGTCTCAGCGGAACGTGCTTTGGGAATGAAATTCGAAGAATTCGCTTCTTTCGCTGAGTATTCAGAGCAGCTGGAAGTGACCGAGATCAAATGGCCTACTAGTATGGTTGACAGCCAGTTGACATCTAAACTCGGTATCATGGTTATTTGGTGCTGAAGCCTCAGAGTTCGCCCAGGTTCGGATTTATTTTCTCTTCTGATCACACGATGACATGTGAGTTCTATGACTGAACCTCTCCTGCTTCTTTCTTTCACGTCTAGTCTCGTCACATGTGGTTTTGTTTCATGATATATACATGCTTGTTGAGAACACTGTGAATCGTTCCAGAAACATCGGGGTCAAAAGGTCGGATGCGCTAGCAAACATGGGTTTCAGGCAGGATCGGCAAGCGCCTGTGCAGCAATAGAAACAGCCAGCAATACACCTCACAATCCGTCAGTGGCAGAGGCACCTCGGCGCCGTTGGAACGGCTCTGACAAATGAGATCCGAGCCCCTCCACCCACCTCGCCCCGATGAACAGCGTGTGCCTCTTCTGCCACGCAGGCTGAGCTTCACCTTCCACCTCACCGACGGGAGCGCTCACGACTGATAAGATAAGCATACCCAGGCAGTCGTCACCCCGCCACCTTCTCCCCTGTCCAATCGTGAGACAACCCCGCCATCCATGTGATCGCTTGGAACAGCTGCCATAGCTCTACTCCTAGTCATCGACATCAGGCGGAACCTCGCAGACTACATCATTTCGGTGACGACAGCCAGGCTGCTACGCCAACTTCACCCTTACACTTAACATCAACGGCCCCACGAGCTAAGCATCGTGAGAGATCGCGCGCAGCGCAAGGCATCGCATCGCATCACATCGAAAGCAACGAAGACAGACCATCTACCAGACCCCGCCATCCACTCGCAACACAACATACATATCGCGCTCCGAGTTGCGGTCTGCGACCATGAATCTCCTCTATTCGACCGTAAACACCCTTCGCGACCGGTACACCCCGGTCTCGCACACGTCCACCTTCCGCACGACCGGCCAGATCACCCCCGAGGAGTTCGTCGCAGCGGGCGACTACCTCGTCTACAAGTTCCCGACCTGGTCCTGGGGCGACGCCGACTCCGATACCCGCCGCGTGAACTACTTCCCGCCCGGAAAGCAATACCTCGTCACGCGCAACGTCCCCTGCCACCGCCGGCTGGACGACGACTTCGCTGGCGATGCAGGCCACGAGGAGGCCGTGGTCGAGGGCGCCAAGGGCGGCGATGACGACGAAGACGGCTGGCTGCGCACCGGCGGGCTCGCAAGTTCGCAGCCGTTGAAGGTGAAGGAGGTCCGTACCGTGGATGACTCGGGCAATGTCGGCGAAAGAGAGATCGTGGACGATGACGAGATCCCGGATATGGAGGATGAGGACGACGACGAGGCTATCATCCGTGACGCGGGAGACAGCGGCAAGAACAGGTACGTGGTGACTCGGACAAGTATAATGCGGCGATGCTAACGTCTATGACCATCAGTGGCCGCCGGACATACACCCTGTACATCATGTACTCGACCTACTACCGCACACCCCGCCTCTACCTCTCGGGCTATCTTCCCACCGGCCAACCCCTTCCACCGAAATCGATGATGGACGATATCGTTGGAGACTACAAGGACAAGACGGTGACCCTCGAGGACTTCCCCTTTTTCGCCAACAACATCAAGATGGCAAGCGTGCACCCCTGCAAGCACGCCTCCGTGATGAAGACGCTGCTCGACCGCGCAGACGCCGCCCTGCGCATCCGCCGTGAGAAGCTCAGGGCCGGCAAGGCCGTGGGCGGTGATCAGGGTATGGAGGGGCTCGTTGACGAGCTCGGCAAGCTTGATGTAAAGGACGCCCAAGACGCCGCCGATAAGAACGACGAGTGGGAGGAGGTCGAACAGAGCGAGGTCGAGGACCAGGAGGTCGCTATCAGAGTGGACCAGTACCTGGTTGTTTTCCTGAAGGTGTGTATTTCCCTCCCATCAGCGGAAAGATGTCGAGGCGATGGCTAACGAGACTGCAGTTTATGGCCAGTGTGACGCCTGGTATTGAGCACGATTTCACGATGGGCGTGTAAATGATACGATTTTCCCTTTACGGTCTAGGTTTGGAGTCTGTTTTCTTTCTGGCTCATATGCCACTGGGGTTTCCAATTACGGTACTTGGACACGGGGTTAGATTACGGGCAAGGGCGATAACGAGAATTCCATTAGATTACCTACAGAGTCAAGAGAGTAGCCTTCTACTTTCTTCCAGGTCCACAGTTGCTTTGGTGTCATAGCCTTCTTTTTGTGAACCCCCTCCCTATATCGTCTGGCGACTGTTGATGAGGCCCACGGCAGATTTTCTGTCCAGTGCTTGGGCTCTCTGTAGACAGGAATGATATCCAGGGTGTAGTAGGGTAGTGAGACTAGTAGATGGATCTCTCATGTGAATCACTTGATCTTAACCACAAAGAGGTGGGAAATGATAGTTGTGGCCATCTATCTGATTGCCAGCAACAAGTTGCTATAAAGAGGTAAGACTAGCAATGTGAAACCCCTGGTTTTCTCGCTGCATTCTTGCCTGCAGATCTATTACAAAGGTATCTTTTGTGACTCAAAGTATATGTCTGTCTGTGACGGTTTTATGTCACTCTGGAAGGTGCCCACTAGAACAAACACTCTGGAGTTAAAATATGCATGGTCTCTAACAGCCGGTCCCTCAACTGCACCGCAGCGAGCTGAGGTCTAGATTGAGTCTCCTGCCTTAAGGAGCATGTAGAGTCGAGGCGAGCTGTGAGGTCGTTGGCCTGGAACACTCACAGGCTAACCGCAGATAGGCTCATTAGTAGTCATTTCTATCCCTGATATATTCGTATTGGTTGAAGCCAAAGCTTCATTTTCTGTCAACATGGTCTGTTAATCCAACTAGCCCAGCTCTATCGATGGCTCCGCCGAGTTCTTCTCCCAAGCTTTCCAAGTTTGGTTGTCATTCTTCGACAACGAACCAAGTGACGAACTCGCTGCGGTGCGACATCAACGCCATACAGATCAAATCGTACAGCCTTCGTTTACATTCGCCACTAGTTGCGCGATCTCGAGGCTGACATCTTGTCATAAGACTCTAGGTTTAAGCTGCCGTTGCACGATGCATGTTCATGTGACACGCAATAGTTAACGAGGAATCTTTCGGATGAACCCAATAATATACATAATCTCCTAATATCATTAAATATTTCGAGGCACGGTTACATTTAGCGTCGTTTATCTAAACTTTGAGAACAAAGAGAAAGTTAGGGACAATTAGGGACAGTGAGTGTCATTTCCAGTTGATATTGGGTTTTTTTATATGGATAACTAATTATAAATACACAGCATAATAAACCCTAGATGAGAGTGATGGTAAGTGCCGATGAATAACGGGCGAAGTTGTATTCCCTTCGTGTCCAAGGTGATTTAACTTACGAGGGATTCCATCGACGCCGAATCGCACTCTTGGAAGCGCTGGACCGAATGTGGGAAAGGGGTAACTGTCTTCCCTGGCGCCTGGGTGCTTTGGAATTGTACAGCTTGCCTACTGCTGAACTTCGTTTATATTCTCTGTAAGGCAGGGAACTCGCTCTCATACGGCCATCGGGAGTACAAAGCACACGCCAAGACGCAAAGATATTGAGTCGACCACAGTACTAGACCTGAATAGGGTACGCTTTTGCGAATAATATGCAATAGACGTCGTTTGGTAAATGTTATTTACTTGATTCGTGTGAAGTTGGTGCCAAATAACTTGGATGTGATTAGAATACACAGGCACACACAAGACGACAGAGTTCAAGAATACCGTCGACCTTGAAGTAAAGACACTACTCAAGGAATACCAGATGTGCTTCCTGTATTTGAACGACAATAGAAAAGTGTTCACAAATTGCAACACTTCGTGACATTGCGGAGCTTTCCAGAACTCATTGGTTTCGGTTCCGTCCTTCACCATCTTGCTTACTGGTTAAGGCCCTCAGTATAAATATACATGTGAGAAAATGAGAGAACCCCTAGTCCTACCTTGGGCAAGTGCCCATGCACATACACGCGGTAATTTGAATGTAATTATGGGCCTGAGAGATAGTATCAGCAATCCCTCAAGAGCGACGACGGCCGCTCATCTAAGTATGGCGGCTAACAGCGATGATGCGTGAACCCTTTACATCTCCAACAACGTTTAGGTTTGAATAAACGTTTACTCGGGTTGAAGTATCGCAACGAGTATTGATCAGCATGATATGTGCTTTGAGGGGGCGTTTGACGTTGAATGAAAGGCGTCTGTTGCAGAAGTGACGATATGTCCACGTCTCCTTGATCGCTTCAACCCAGTAGACTTCTCCATCTGATTTGCTTCCTACGCCAGTACCATTCAACAATAAAACCGCCAATTCTAATTGTAGCCTTTGGAGAGCTTGAGATGCGATGGCCCCTCTTCCCCCTAGCTGCAAGGACATAAGTACGGGTTTAGGCAGCCATGCCTTTTGGGACCACAGCCCACCTTTCGCCCATTCCGCGTTCACATCACGACTTAAAAACAGCGTAACCGGTCAAGCGTTAAAGAAACTCTCTCCTTTCATACACAGCATTATTCATTGCTATCAGAGACCAGAAGCAAAATGGACAACCATGTCAGAGCATTCATGCGGGTCATCCGCAAAGTCGACGACTTCAACGAATTGTCACAATCCTTTCCAGAATGGGAGAAACTCGCTCTCTCCCAAGACGGAGACTCACCGCCGATCAATCCCCAGGACCGCCGGAGGATCCTCGATTTTCCAGACCCCGAGACTGAGACAAGCAACATTGCAAAGTCGACAACTCTCAGCAAAGAAGAACTGCTCAAACGCGCGGTCGAGACGCCCGCGCAGCTGTCCGATACAGAGGCCTCTCTGGTCTCAGACCGTTACTGGCTGGACATCACGCTGGATGAGAAGTCCGAAATCGGCCACGCGCAGGGGCTTCTCGGCGGACCCTATCGAATCTCCCAGGAGGATTTTGTGCAGGCAGATGAGCGCCTCAAGGCTATGCGGCATCCGCTCTACGCGGAAAACGAGGAGAAAGCCATCGCGAGCGCCAGCATGGAACGCTTCAGGCGCTATTACGAGGCGTCTCAAGCCGATCGGCTTCGGAGGGCAGAAGAAGTCCTGAAGAAGGCGTTCCCCTGGGTTAGACGCCTTTTCGAGGAGGACCAGGGCAAGAGGCGTTGGGGGTACGCCATGTTCGAGGAGCCGAACTTGTTTGCCGACGATCAGGCGAAGGAGGATTACGGATGCCGACGCGACGCGGTTCTGTTCTATGCTTGCGGCGCCATCGGGGCGGAGACCGCTGCAGTCGGTGGTATGTGGCAGTTGCAAAACCTGGGCTGGCCTGCGGATGCTACCGCAAACGACAGGGACGAAAAGGGGAGCGCCATCGAGCGCTCAGAGACTGAAGATGAACTCGCCGCTAAGTTTCAGAAACTGCGCAAGCACTTCAGGTCCATTCGCGACCAGAAGCAGATGCAAGAGCAGGCCGTCTCGGACGGTCCTGTGCAAGCGCAGCCTGGTGGTTTGCGAGACGGAATGCTTCGAAACGTCTTTCTCGTAGACGACAAGCACAGCGTAGCGTCGATAACGAAAGGTCGGGGGTTTGTCGACGAGATGTGGGTTTGGGCAGTTGATCCCGACTACGACGATCCGAACGACCAACCAGCCGCTTCTGTTACGACCGAGGGCGCGGTGCCGACAGAGACACCTCGCAGGTACAGAGGCTTCATGCGCGTACGACTTCAGCAGATTGTCAACAACTTTTACGATGCGCGGCGCTTTCATGAGGACGAGTACCCGATGTCCAAACTCTGGGAAGCGGCGCAGAAGAGCAGGTTTGAGGCCTTCGTTTCGCTCAAGGAAGACGAGGCGCGGATGAGCAAGATGGATAGGTTTGTGGGGAGTTGCATGCGATCACAGCAGCCACGGATTGTATATGGACCCAAGCCAACGCCCTAATGTTGACGAGATTTGCTGTCGTAGGAAACGCGGGCGTGTTAAATGTGTCGAGTTATATATATCCAGACTGCGGCATCAACACAGCTTCGCAGCAAACTCTTCAACAAGCATATGAGTGTCTTTCGTGCGTCATCCTCGGAAGAGCGTATTGAGACTTCGATCTGATAAAAGAGTGGTAAAATGCCGAGTGAACACTTAGAGAGCGCACATTAAACGCAGATTTGAATTAAGACAGACGTTCGTTCCACAAGACATAGGTCCGGTTTTCTTGCCCGTATTCTTTCTAATCTCAAGTTTTCATACTTGGCTAGCTATGATTCACTTCTCGTATCAACTTGTTTGTGAGGTAACAGACAGGCAGTTCGTGAATGGAAGTACATTAGTCTGGACAAACTCCGCGAATCTACCGAAGAGAGACGACTACGGAAGAGGTCGTCCAACCTCAGTCGTTAGTGGAGGGAGTAATCATAGTGAAATTTGGTATCGATTATCTTACACGTACGTCTTACTCAAAGAGGTCGTCTCGTCGAGCTGTCAATGGCACTTTCACAGTAAGTATTGACACCGGATTGGAGAGATTTTTGTGAAGTTGTCATATAATCCTTCCCTAAAGAGTTGTGTAAGGGATAAGCATGTGGCAAGCCGACTCGGCGCCCAGAGTCTTCATGTACCCGGTATGTTACCGTTCACATCTAAGCTTTATCCAACCCAGCGGTATTTCGAAACCCTTACTATTTGATAGATTATCACATGCAGCAAACTGGCCACCTGCAACAGATTCTCTCCATCACAAATGACATTCATTTGTGTCCCCGTGTGTACCCGCGTGACGATCTCTTCCCAAAGTCGATCTACAAGACCGTCTCAAGTTGCCACACGCATGCCGCAGGAATCGCTCTGGACACAACATCGCCAGCCGGAAGCTAACCAGACAACGACCATCTGAAGCATGCCAAGTGTTGACTCGAGATTAGTAGATCGAACTTCACAAGTGTCACAAAACCATCCGTCAACATCCTCATGACACAAGCTCCCTTTCCCCTGCCCAGTAAATCGACGACGGGAACCGGCATATCACTCCCTCCCCGCCACTTCGGAGAGGAGCACAGCATTAGGTCTTTGCGGGGGGGAGGTGACGAATACCCATCCTCCGTCCACGGCGCGGTGCGGCGCGGCCGATATCCGTGTGCCGTGACCGCGGCGCTAGCAACTTCACTCCTCCCCAAGCCACGATGCTTTTTCATGTCCACCTCGAAGCCCAACCATTTCGGCGAGACAGAGCCTCCTCCTCTCCCACCCGCATGTCTCCCATCACATGTCCGTCGTATTCCCACAGCCGTTCCCGCTCCTTGTGCAACATCATCCTCCCCGCCGCCATCCCACTCCTTACCATGCAACACCAGCCCAATAGGAAAAGGCAACCCCCATCGAGCAATCCCAGGTACACAATACCTCTGACCAGCGCCTTTAACATAATCCTCCATATCAGTATCGTATGCCCACGGCCAGCCGGGATTCGCATGCCACGCGTCCCACGCACTTCCAGGACGGAAACCACCAACCAAAAACACGCATTCCCCCTTCGCGCTGCCAGATCAACCATATCTCGACGCCAACACTAACGCGCCCCCCAAACTAACGCAGACCAACAGCCCGCTTCGCCCATGGTCACATCCCATCTGGCCCTACCCTCCTTTACACAAGAGTCCACAGGGGAAAGCAAAAGGACGGCGTGAAAAAAAAAAGCATTTCAGCCCCCAAAAGGTGCTGGAGTAAGAACAAACCCGCATGACGAAGGTCAAATGTCTGGCAGGCCTCCTCCTCCCACCCGCTCGATAACCTTGCCGACATACCCGCCTCCCACCGCCGTCTTGGCAGAAGCTTGACTCGATGTCTTGTCTGGTTTTACCACGCGAGCCCCAGCTGGAAACGGCCATCCAACCGTACCTTGCTGTCCGTTGGCTTGGAACTCACCTGAACCGATACCTCGCCGTTTTCGGCCCGATGAGGGAGAGTCGGAGCAGAAGGATGAAGACGCTTGGTAAGAAACACCAGCTCAACAGCCAGCCCGACTTTTCCGCGCAGGAACCCGCTCAGTCATCGCTGCGTGAGTCGATTAATAACCCACGATCCCGATATCTCCGTGATATCCGTGGAAGAAGACGAAGAGAAGTTACCCATCTCCACCTCCGAAAAAAACAAAAGACGGCCCCCCGACTTGACGCGGCCAGCAACCCCGCGCCGCCGCGGAAACATACACACATGCACATCTCCCCCTCCAAGATCCACACCGCCGCGTCCAAGACAAGAACAGCGCGAGCAGAGGGCGGCGGTCCTGGTCAAGAGAGAAACAGAGAGAGCACAGGAACGCCGTTTTGCCAAGCCGGGCATCAGAACTCTTCGGTCCCGCGTTTTCGACACCGAAGCCCCCGGCTAAAAAGCAAACAATGCACCGCGCTAGTCGCTGCTGGGTCGAGCCGGCGACACCAGCACATGCATACAATAGAGCGCTAAGCACACAGGGTAGACGAGAATGGCCATCACTACGTTAGCTCAACCTCTCCGATGGGAAGGGGAAGGAGGCCTTGAAGGAGGTGGAGGGAGGGGGAAATGGGAATCGCGAAAAAGGGGTGGGAGAGTCGCGGGCGGTGGACAGGCCAGGCCCGGCCCAGCCAGGCCTCTCGGTCGTCGCTTTTGTGAGTGAGTGTGTGTATGTGGTGTCTGAAGCCGTTCATCTTTTGCTGCATGTCACATCTCCTACATGAAGCCGACCTTTCCAGCCCGACGCATGATCGAAAACCGGTGCCCCTGTTTCTCATTCGCACCCGGAACTCGGCCAACATGCCGTACTGGACAGCAGGACACACATGCCGTAGCCCCTCCCCGAATGATCTTCGTGTCCGAAAGAATCAAACTATCAAGTACCGAATGATGAGCGCAGCAACGAGCGAGAAAAGGAGGGGCGTGTATGCAGGCGCGCATGAACGAAGCATCTACGTAGTAAGCAGCTGCAAAGCACGGAAAAAGATGCTAGAACAACAACAACTAATACCTACCTAGGTAGCTTCAGAGGAGACGTGGGATGCGCACAGGGCTGGGCTCAGGCTGACCTATCACACCACCAACATCCATCCCGTTCCAAGATGACGGAAACACCAAGCTTACTAGCAAACAATTCTACACGCTACATACACTTGAAGGAAAAGACGGGAAACGGAAAGGAGGAAGCAAGAAGGGTGATGGATTAGTAGGCACCGTATGTGGCGCGGACGGATTCTGATTGGGCCGCCTTTGCCATTTCCTGCCGGTTTTTCCCAACCTTGGCTGAATGTTTGGCGCCGCCGCGGGGGAAGGGGGAAACCAGTACCTACCTACATACCGATGTCTTCTTGACACTTCCCACCCCCTCACGATCACACAAGACGTCAGGGCTCTTTTCGGGTCTCCGTCGTGCGTGTGTAACGGATACCTACATACTCCGCAAGCTCGCCCCGGATTGCTGGGTAGAAGTGTCTACCTTGCTGCGGGGGAAACCACATTCCCCTCCCTTGCTGATATGAGCCACATACGTCGTGTCGACACAACTTGACGAATCCTTCTTGTGCCCAGGACGAGCGCGGTCACTAGATGTATTCAGTACCGATACCATAGTCGTATTCTTCTCCTGGCACTAGTTGATAGCAGTGAGTTGTGGGAGTGGGACTTATAGTTGATTGAATTTGAAGAGACCTCAGTCTCTCTTTGAATTTAGGTTCTTTTGTCTATGCCATTGCTACTAATAGTAATGTATGTTTCTGAATCTTTTTCTTCTTTTCTGCGCGCGTGTCACAACGGACTGCTTGCTCGCTTGCATCAAAGGAAAAAGTTGATTATGTACGGCGACCAACACATCTTCCTCAGTGCCTTCTCCTGGCCTGGGTCTCTCTCATGTGCGCGCGAAAATCCTTGTGAGCACTTCTAAGCTAATAGCTTGAGCTGCCCCAAATGATTATAAGTTTGTTCCATCCAAACGGAAAAAAGGCACCCTCCAAGGCTTGTTCCCAAAGCCTCCGTAAACGCCGTGTATGTTGAGCGCGTCATTGTTCGGGCTCATTGACTGAGCTGACGCGGAAAATGAAAATTGCAGCGATGCAGATCAGACATGTGATAATTCGTACAGTCGTGACCGGGTGTGGTCAATACCCAGCCTGGCCAGGCATCTTTCCTAGCGAGTGCCCATGGCTTTGGAGAGGCAGGTGGTTGTGGCAGAACACCTTGGTAACTGTCTGGGCATCGCTCTTCTTAGATGCATCGATAATGGTTACTGGGTCGTCGTAGTTTTCCAACTGGCAGCATTCAACCTGGTCCCTGAACCAGCGATTGTTGATGATGTCAGAAATGCTGGCCCGTCTGTCGGGGTTGGGGTCGAGCATCCTGAGCAACAGGCGCTTGAACCCGACGGGATGGCTAAGGTGGTCGAAGGGGGGGAAGTGTGGGAGGTTGTCTGCCTTCTTCGGGTTGATATCCGGGTTTTTCGTCTCCCATCTCTTCCATACCTGGCACAGCTTGTCGAACCACTGGTTCCCGGCCTCTGCTCTCGTCCACAAGCCACCGCCGAAGCAGAGATAGATGCCGATGCAACCGGCGCTCCATACGTCCAGGCCACGAGGGTCGTATTTGCGATCCTTCAAGAGCACCTCTGGGGCCACGAATGGCTCACTACCGCACATGCCGGGAGAACACAAGCGGACATCGCACATGTTCTTGCCACATTGTCCGCCGGCTTCCCGGAGGCCGGGGTGAGTGCCAGAAAAGACTTCTGAGACGCCGAAATCGGTGATCTTGAGCTTGCTGTCTTTGGTGATGAGAAGATTCTCGGGCTTAATGTCGCGGTGAGCGATACCGTTGCTGTGCAGGTAGTTGATGCCCTGGACCAATTGCTTGAGCAGGCAAAGACGGTCAACATGGCGATCAGGATCCCTCAAGTACTTCAGCTCCAGTAGCGAGAATAGGTCGCCGGCTCCGCAGTACTCCATTACATGGTTCCATCGGCCATGGTCGGTGCAGAGTCTGATCGTCTCGACAATGTTGGGGTGATGTAAACTCTTGGCGATGCTGAATTCAGACTTGATCTTCTTCTCGTACTCCTCTTGGGATTCCTTCTTCGTCTTGCCTCTGAACTCCTTGACGGCGTACAGTTCGCCAGGGCAGTTCTTCCGGCACATCAGAGTCACCTTTGATGTCGCGCCCTTGCCGAGGTGCTTGCCATGACGGCCGAATTTGGAGGTGTAATCGTACTCTTGGGTCAGCGAACCAACGTCGACCTGGAAGTCGTCGGGGAGACTCAAGCTCAGACGACGAGCCTTGATACCGACGCCGGCGTCAGGCAGTTGCGCCCAAGGAGAGTTCTTCTCCAGAGGAATGGCGGGGTTTGTGGAGTTGGCTTGGTGGTTTATCGCGGGATCATGACGGGGGACGTTCTCGAAGCTGCTGGCACGGCGTCTTCCTAGGTGCACCTTGTGTGTGTGCTTTTCCCGACCCGGAACGTTGGCGTTGACGAAATTGACAGCGCGTCCTCGGAGGGAAATGCCGGTTGATGCACGGTTCTTCTTCTTGTTGAAGTCATCCGTACTGGGCATGAAGGATGTCTCCTTGTACGAGGAGGCCACCCCGACGGGGGAGCCCGGCGAAGGAGGCGTGTTGGACCTCGTGGTGTTGTGTGAGGTGTTCATGGAGAACCGTCTTCCACTGCTCTTAGGGGGAGACGGGTCGATCAAGGCACTCTCGGAGGCGCCAATGGTCTGGTCAATGGTGAAGCCAAGATCGGGTCTGTTGAAGGACGAGTTGGACCTGCGGAAAAGGGTGGACATGGTGTTGGACATGGTCCGCTTAAAGCTGGAAGTCGAGCCTCGGGTAGGCCGCCTAGACAGCGGAGTTGGTGGCGTATCTTGGTCAGCAGCAACAGTTGCGGCAGCCGGAGCCGGGGCAGGCGTGTTAGCGGTGGGTGTTGCTGATGCCGCCGTCGAGGTGGTGTCAGCGGTGTTGACCAGAAGAGGCTTTGGTGTGGTCTGAGCCTGAGCCTGGTGGATGCCGTGATCCTGACTTGGGCGAGTGGTGAACTCCTGGGACTGTCTGCCGCTGCTGATGGGGGTCACAGGTTCGTTTGGAGATTCGCTTTCGGATTCATCGGCTTCGAGGATGGGAGAAGTGAGGTCTGAGGGAAATTGACGGGGAGACGAGGACAGGCTGCTGTTTTGTTGATGTGCGGAATGCTGCTGCTGCTGCTTGGCTGTAATCGCAAGCGTTATTATTAGCGGCTGGCCAGGGATGCGACTGACGGAAACAGGGCGGTTGGGAAACGGAAGCTCAATGACGGAAGGGCTTTGACTGTTGCGGCAGGGGGAAAGTGGCATTGGGTTTCGGGGGGGAGCTGATTTATGGTGCAGAGGCAGCAGAACAGAACGTACCTTGGGGGATGGGCTGGGGGACAGCCAAGCTGGGGAGGACGGCTGCCATAGCTGTCGGATTGCGTCCGGTGGGCAGTGGAGTGTCTGGTGTTGGCGTAGGTGCAGGTGCTGGGTGGTTCTGACCAAGCAAGGTAGGTACCTATGGGCCAAGAGGTAGTTGGGCCACACACACAGAATGCTTGGTGCAGGTGCAGGTGCTGGTGCTGGTACCGGTGTTGGAGGTGTCGCTGGCGTCGGCGTTGGTAAAAATGATTTCCGCGGCGTTACCGAGGGGTAAGGTAGTGGCTTGCAGTGGCAGCAGCAGTGGGTGTGTCTTGGGTGACTGAGCGAAAGATTCCCCCCCAATTATCGGGCCCGAAGCACCAACGTGAGCGAATCGATAAGTCGAGTCGTGTTCGGGCAGGGTGTGATGGCGAGGACGATAAGCCTTGGAGGCCAAGACACCAAGGGACCAAGGGAGACGGAGGAAAGGAATGTCGACGAGACGAGAGGAGAAAAGACAGCAAAACGTATTGTATCTCTTCGTCTTTATCCCATCGCTTGTGGCTGCATACGTTTTACACCTTGTGTGTCGCGTCGAAGTGGTGCTCGTTCGGATTCCGTTCAATGTGTCGAATCAAAAGGTGCTTGAGGCTTTTTTAAGTTGCTGTTTCTTGCAGGGAAGCGACCTTTGCCTTTGCCGCGAGACTGTGCTGTGTAGGCGGTGGCCAAGCAAGAAGCTGGAGGTGTATGTGTGTATTGGGCACGCGAGCCTCTGCGGTTTCTGTCGAAGAAGCAAACAGATCGGGAGGTCGTCTGGGGAAATCGGCGACGGGTGTGCTTTGGAGGGGTCGAAGTTAGGGTGACTGCAGGTGCCAGTGGCCGTATATATGTAAAAGCAAGGTGAGTGACCTTGCTGGTAGGCGGAAGTCAAGGTTGGCGATGAGGTAAGAAATTGAGGTTGTTAGGAGAGGATATTAGAAGAGAGTTAGGTCAGAGTTGAAAGAGGGCGAAGGGGAGGGAAAGGACGTGATAATAATTCAGGCGTCCATTTCAGAAAAAAGGGCCTGGCGGCTTGGGAGTGGGAAGGCTGCGAGTTTTGAATCGTCGAGGGGCACATTCGCGAGAGAACGAGAAGGGGGGGCCAGCGATTTCTCGATTTGGATGAAGACAAGCTTGAGGAAGACCCCCGCTGCTGCAGCTGCCGCCGCTGCTGTTGCGCTTAGAGGGGCGTGGGTGTTGGAAAATAAAAAAAACATAAAAAACATAAAAAAGACGCTCTATTTTCCGCCGGGCCGGGTGTGGGAGACGAAAATGGTACGCAGAGCTGTGCGAAAGTGGGTGCGAGTCTGGGAGTGCGGGTTTTAAGTGGGAGACAGCAGAATTAAAACGGGGGCTGCGATAGGACGGGTACGGGACGTCAGGTACGGAAGACGGTAGGTATGCTGTACCGCGGTCACAATGTCTCCAGAGTCTAGCGGGTTCAAGTCGTGTCTGAGTGGGAAAGGCCAGGGAAGCCCAGTTCATTCGGGATTGGGGACGATGAATGGAGACGATGGAGATGGGGGAACATCGAGTTGGGGGAGGCAACAAAAGAAGCTGACTGGTTCGAATTGTTGGAGGAGTGGGTGGTGGCGGCTTTGGTTTTGGATTTCTCGCAAGCCCAGTCCCGTCTTCCCGGTTGACTGCCACTTCCGCGGAAAACGGGACGATGGAGGCTGGAAGCTGGAAGTTGACGATGATGATTTACGGACGGACTCAGAACACACGACACGCCTCAGAAAGACACAGAAAAAAAGATTGTGCCGAGAGCCAAGCCTGGACCACGTCTAATATCTGAGGCGAGATCCAATGCCCAGCCAGAACGCGCGAAGGTTACGGCCAAGACGTGCGCAGCCAAGAGAAAAATAATAATACACACACACAAGACACAGACAGTGAAAGGAAAGGAAAGGAAAGTCTTGGGTACTCTGTACATACGGCCTTTTCTCCGCCGAGAGATTTGAGCGAGTATTCGCACCTGCCACCACCATCATCATCACCACCTCAGCACTCAGGAAAGCACATTGGCACAGCACCTTCCACCTGCATCCGCTCCTGCCCTCCTGCTCCTGCTCTTACCCTCTCTTGGCATTCCCGTCGCTCCTGCCCTGCCTGCCTGCCCTGCACACTGGACGAAAAAGAAGAAGTGGGTCTGGAGAATGCCCTGGCGGGGTTCTCGGTGGGTTTCCTGGGGATCCACTCCACTGGCTGAATGCTGCACCGATGAGCCCTGCCCTACCCTGTCACCCTGTCATTGTCATGACCTTCCATGTCCAAGTCAGCGCTGCGTAAGGGTATCCTCTCCAGGTCCGCAGTCCATCCAGTTGTGCTGCACAGCACTTCAGCCCATCACAGACATCAGACGGCCCGTATGCCTCTGCACAACACTGGAGCAATCGACAGAGTTCTCAACTCCCTGTGGCTGCTCTCCTGTGCAGCTCTGCCACTTCAACTGTCCGAAGTCGGGCCTCTGACGCCCTCGCCATCCAGTGGTCTGCCCGGCCGTGACCGAGGCGATAACTGACCAAAAGTCACCTGAAGTGACTGAAGAAACCGCGGATCATGCCGGGATGTCAGGAACACCACGAGGGCGACAAAATCCCGAAGCATGGAAGCCCGAGAGAAGCCTGCCCATCTGTCCAACATTTTCTCTTTGACAATGACGATCACAAGGCGGGGGACCTGGAAATGGAAATGTCCCAATGGCATCCATTTGCTTTGCTTTACTTTACTCACGGATATGGCATACAGTTACCTCGAGTTTGCATATCCGAATCTCTTAGCCAATCTAGTACGTACAACTTGGATATGTATCTGTAACAAGAACCTCCAACAATAGCTGCGCTGTGCTGATGAGCTTAGCATTACTAGCACCGGTGTTGGCACTGACGAGCGAGCATTGGCAGGCAAACAAGCAAAAGCAGGCAACGCCCTCATCCATGCCATGTCTTAATTACTATCGCCTCGCCCTCGCCTCGCCTGCGCGTATTTCGAGAGGGGCGTAGGTGGGCGCGCGAGGCCCCAGCATGCGTGACCGCCATCATCAACCCCGTCAAAACCTCTGCCCAGGCCAATCCAGTCCTCACCTCGACCGCAAAGTGGGAGAGCCGAGAGACAGACTGAGGTACTTATAGCGAGGTAAACCCTTATAGGGCCTAATAATAAAAGGTAAATAAACTATAAGATAAATAAATTTAATACTATATTTAGTACTTATATAAAAAGATTTACTTTAGTTTAATATAAAGAAAAATTACTAAAATCTAATAAATATGTATACTTTTTATTATAAATAGCTTTAACTATTATAATTTTAAAGCCCTCTTATATATAGAGTAATATATAAGAGGAGGGTAGTTTCTATTTCTTTTTTTCTTTATTTTAAATTATTTTCTTTAAGTAATACTTCTTAAATAACTTAAATAACTATAAAAATACTACTTAAATATCTTAAAATTAATCCTATTATATAGTAAACTTTAAAATAGGGTTTAATATTAAGGCTATATTTAATATTATATTAAGAGATAACTATACCTTTTAGCTATTTATTAAATTTAGTAATAAGTATTATATTTATAATATTTTTAAGTCTACATATTATTTATAGCTACTTAATAATAAAGATATTATAATTTATAAAATAATAGGGGCTATTAAATAGACTTAGACTCTATAGCTAAATTAATAGTATATCTAGCTATACTACTTAGCTTTATATAGTATATATTACTATCTTTAATATAATATAGATTACCCTAATAATAAAGCTTTTATTATAAAGCTTTAAGCCTTAAGTTAATATAAAGATACCTATAGAAACTTATTAATAATAGCTATAAACTAGCTCTAGCTATATATAGTATAAGAAAAAGATAATTTAGGGGGATTAATAGGGATAATTAATACTAAATAGATCTTAAATAGGTACTAAGTAAAATAGTAGTTAAAAAGAGGTTAAAAAGTAGTTAATAAGTAAGTATAATATTAATTTTAATAGTAGTATTAATTAATAATAGACTATATTAAATAACCTAGCTATTTCCTTACGGGGGGAGCCACCCGCTAAGAGACAGACTATACAAGTGACAAGACACAACCAAGGGGGTGCGGCCTACATCGCATTGCATGGGGGTTCCAACTCCGACTCGATTCCTTCACCCAACTGGCGAATGAGACGTGCTGTTTCTCTGTGGGGTGGATGATGCGATTGCTGCTTGGCTGCAAACCGCTGCTGTCCTTCCTGGAAATCATCGTTTCTGGCTCCAGTCTTACGGAGTTTTCCTCTTGGTTTCCTGCTGCTTCTGGAGAAAAGGAAATGCGAATGGGGAACTTCGCCCTCGCGTATCTGCTCTAGCGCCCAGAGTCATCTGGGGTTTTCTCTAGCCCTCGTGCCCTCGGCCTCGTCACAATTCACAACCTGCCGCCGTCAGCCAACTGATGAGTTGCCGCCTCGCCGTTGGCCAACACCGAGCAATGGTGGACGGAGTAGGCAGTCCAGGGCCTGCGTCCGTTTCCGCTTCCCATCAGCGCATGCGCCCACAACGGCAACCACATCCATGCCATGCTGGCCCGTCGCCCGTGAATGACGATGTCGCTGCTTCTTTGGGGAAACCGAGTCCATCGTCATCCCGGTCCGTCCAGCCCACAGGTATCCGTATTCCCGTGCTTCTGTCCCTGTATCCGCTGGGCATGGAGATGATGAGCTTGGGATGGGGACGGATACCTGTGCTGTCTGACCTGAAAGCATTACATTACAACCCGTGATTTGGATCTTCTTACCTCAGACCGTTGGGGGACAAATGTTTCTGAAGACTAACACCATGTCATTTACTGTCCTTGGCCAGTCTTGGCCGTGGCTATCATGATCGGTCCTATCCACCGCCAGCAGGCATTTCACTCATTATTGATAGGCAATTTGCTGGAGACTGAAACAAATGGAGCAGACGCGGAGGCGGAGGTCAACCGTGCAATAATAATAGTAATAGGACTGACTCTGGCTGGCTGCCCTGCGGTCCTGGAACATGG